ATAAAATATGACTATAATAATAAGTTTCAAAAAAGATTATTTTTTTTAATGAAAGGTATTATTAAGATAAACTAGTTAAAAGAGGAAAGGGTAAAAGTTTAAAAAAAAATTAGCAGAAAAAAATTAAAAAAAAAATTAATTAACTGCAAGACTAAAGGATCATGGGGAGAAAGCCATGAATTCCATGCTTTGCTTTCTCTTCCTCTGGAAATCCGCTGTTCTCCTTGGTAAGTGAACTTGGTCTTGGCTGGATTTCTTGTTGATCTTCTGGGGGAAGGGCCTGTTGTAGTGATTCTCAAGTGTCTTTGCCTGAGGCAGAATTGCACCGCCCTTACCAGGGGCCTGGGTAAGTAATCAGCTGGGGTTTGCGCTCGCTCGGGTTTGCTTTCGGGAGCTTTTGTTCCCTGAGCGCTATCCGTAGAGTCCGGAGGACGGAAATGAGAATGGCGGCTTCCTAGTCTCCGGCCCGGAGGAGCCCAGAGCCCGGGGCCCCACTCCTCAGTGCGCCCTCAGAGAACAGCGCCCAATTGCTCCCGTCACCCTGGCCTCCGGCCGTGCTCCGAGCTGACCGAGCCTGAGACCGGTTCAAGGTAACCCGCGTTTAGAGCTCACTCCTCGGCTCTGTCTCTGTAGCCGGCTTCCCCGTTCTAATACCTGTAAGCTCTGCGACTCTCAGACACCCCCGATCCTTCTGTGACCCTGCGGGACCTGAGGCCACGCTGACCCCGCGTGCGCTTCACCCCGGTTAAGCCTCTGGAGCGATGTCCCTCAGCGGAACAGACATTTAAAAGTCCTGATTTTGTGCTCCGTTGCTCCGCCGCTTGCCGGGAGCCGGCCCCTCCCCCCGCGGTCTATCTTCCGGTCGCTTTGGATTCACTTCTCCACTAGTCCTACCTTTCAGAAAGTGGTTGGTTTTCTGTTTCTAGAATTGTTGCTCTTTTTCTCTTCCATCTCCTGTTGGATTTGTAGGTGTTCGCAATGGGTTGATAAGCTATCTAGCTGATCTCCCGCTACCTGATGTCGTCTCAGCCTGCTACTTCTCCGCCATCTTCTAATTTCATTTTTTTTTAAGATTTTATTTGAGACACAGGTAGTGAGAGAGTGCAAGTGGAGTGAGGGGCAGGGGGAAAAGCAGGCTCCCCACTGAGCAGGGAGCCCCATGCGGGGCTCGATCCCAGGACCTGAGATGAATCATGAGATGAGATCATGACCTGAGCCGAAGGCAGACGCTTAACAGACTGAGCCACCCAGGTATTCCTTCTAATTTAATTTGAACATATTTTATGTCACTTTCTTGATGTATTCTAATTTGTTTCGAGGTATTCAGTTACACTTTTCACTGGTTTTCTGAGCATATCTCTCTGGTATGCTTTGTTGTCTGTAGGGATTGTATTTGCTACTCAGGCGCTTTTTCCTTATAATAATGTTGTATGGGATTTTATATAGATTATCTTCTCTTGCCTATTTTTTCTTTTAAAGATTTTATGTATTTATTCGACAGATAGAGATCACAAGTAGGCAGAGAAGCAGAGAGAGAGAGAGGAGGAAGCAGGTCCCCCGCCAAGCAGAGAGCCTGATGTGGGGCTTGATCCTAGGACCCTGGGATCATGACCCGAGTTGAAGGCAGAGGCTTTAACCCACTGAGCCACCCAGGTGCCCCTTCTCTTGCCTATTTTTTTTTTTCCTCTTGCCTATTTTTATATGAAATTACTTTTGCTGTTTTTTTACAAGGGATGTGGGTCAGGGCAGCTTTTCTAACTGTATTTATTCTCTATACCTTCTTCTTCTCTTTTGGGTGGAGTCTAAAGAAACAGGGCAGCTTACTTTCTGAGATCTGGTTCTGCTCCCCTATTGCTGATGCTGATTATGGCGGGGTATCCTTGGCAATCAGATGCCCTGTTGCTTCCTCTGCTTCCCTTGCACAGATCCCAATACCAAATTGATCTTGTTGTTAGTTTGTCCCTGCCTGTTTGTGTATTATGGGGTTTGGTGGGGGGTACTTTCATACGTGGTTTGTTTGTAGATGTTTACCTTGGTTTTTCTGTGCTGGTTGCTATGTTTGTGTATGGTGGTAGCAGGGAGAAGAGAATGGGTGGGATATGAAGAGACTGAAAAATTATCATTGTTCTGCCATCTTGCCTGAATCTGCTGGATAGCCACTGGTTTTTAGTTTGGATGTAGTCTGGGTTAAATTATGAGTCTGTTGTTTTATAGCTTCTGAATTTAGCCTCCTGTTCATTGTATGATTAAAAAAACAATTACGATACACACTTTAAAAATGTGTTTATTGATGTCTTTCATAATACTTTTTCTTTTGGGTCCTAACTTAATGAATAATATTCTTAAAGATTTTTTTTTTAAGGAGTTTATTTATTTACAAGAAAGAGAGCATGAGCAAGCATGAGCAGTGGGGAGGGGCAGGGAGAGAGGGACAAACTGATTGCCTGCTGAGCACAGAGCCCAATGGTGGGGCTCAATCCCAGGACCCTGAGATCGTGACCTGATTTCTTAATTTTCTACCATTCATGTACTAGAATTAATATCACTTAGACTTGATATTTTCTTTAATGTATTGCTGGAGTCTACTGTCTAACAGTTCATCAGGATTTTTATTTTATTGATGAATATGCTTTGCCCATTTTCATTGTATTCTAAACATTTTTCAAGTTCATCTTCAATGCCATTGACTTGGGTTTCTGCAGTTTGATTTGACTTGATGCGTCTGATATGGCTTTAGTTTGGTAAGGTGGGCTCTTCAGTTTCTGTTCTTAGTTCTACCAGATCCATATTAATCTCACCTGATTTTATTTCTTCTTTAATCTTATGTTTCTTAGAAGCTACATTCTCTTTAATTATATTGAGAATACGAAACAGTTTGTGTGTTAATTTTCTTTTGATGCCCAAGGTAGCCCTCCACGTTATATTTTTTTATCTGCCTTTTGCATAATCTCTTTCAGCATCATCCCCCCACCTTTGCCAATTCTGCCTTCATGAGGGGGACTCTTGCTGAACAAATTGGGAGAGGTGAGGGTTCCATCTAAGCCTGCTGTTTGCCTGGAATTGGTCAGTCGTGGATATATTAGATCTCTTGCTTACGTATGTTCAGTTCCTCCCTTAGCACGAGAGAGGAAAGTTGGATAGCAGCCAATATTAAGATTTTATTTATTTTAGAGCAGAGAAAGTGCGAGTACGAGGAGGGAGGAGCAGAGGGAGAGGGACAAGCAGACTCTGGGCTGAGCATGAGCCTGATGCGGGGCTGGATGTCAGGGTCCTGAGATCAAGGGGCTGAACCAGAATCAAGAGGTGGCTGCTTCACTGACCGTGCCCCCAGCGTCTCACTTTCGTCTTGCTTCAGATAGAGGTTTTCGGAGGATTGGGAGGAGAGCATGTGGAGTGGTACTCACTGTAGCCTTTATGGGGTGGCTGAGTTGTGGCAGCTAAACTCTTACTGAATTAGTTGATCCCTTTTGTGGTAGGGGCCTGTCTGGCAGGGATTCCTCTCAGCCCAGACCATTCCTTGTGTGTTACGCTTCTGCCTGCCTAGGTTGACCCACGTACCTGGAAAAAGTAAAACAATCCCCCGTCTTCAACCTCACCCTTACTGTCATTCTGAGGAGAGTTAATGGCTCCAATTATGAGTGCTTCCTGCTTCTTCTGGGGCCCACTTTCTCCTGTAATCCCCTTTCTCCAGGTTAAGAATTGGTGGCGTTCTTCAGAACTCTCATTTTATACCTCCTTTGCTTTCTCTCACTTAGAATTGTATCCCATTTCATTGTTCTTCGGTTTCGTCTTGGGTCTTACTGTACCTGGTATATAGCCTCCAACGTTCATAGAATGGGTGGTTTCTATATTGTATTAAAACACAAATTTCCCTCTTTGTATTTGTTTGGGTTTTAGAGAGAAGAGTTATGTGAACAAGTAAGTGCGCCCTCTCCCAGAAGTAGTTCTACCCAAGTAGGAGTGAGCCAGTCAGAATCTTACTTTTGGGGTATATATGGAAAAAAAAAATCAGGCAGGCAGCAGCTGGTATGTCCTGAGAAATTCTGTGATAGAGGCCAAAATTATGACAACAACATTCATAAGGTTTCTAAGAAAAGGTATGAAGAGTTGGAGGATAAGGTCACCAGCTGGTGGAGGGAGAAGTGGGTCTACAGAAACAGACCCACATAAAGCAGGGGAGTCTTATCAGCGGAGGGCACTGAGTGACCCACGAACCCCACTGTTCCTCCAGTCTCAGAGGCCTGGTCACATGCCGAGTCCCAGTCTTAGATTTCAATGAGATGCCATCTTGTCTTCTTCCTTCGGCCACTCTAGGTTGGTGACTGCATCTTAAAATCAAGAGAGCCTAAGGAAACTAGATGCTTTTAATTTTACTCTGGGAAGGAAGATCCCAGGCCACCCATGCATGTGGTGGGGGGAGGTGAGTAGATCGCGGTTTTGAGAAAAATGAGGAATTGCAGTCATCATAAAGAAGTGAGAGAAAAAACTGACAAGGAACAATTGCTGAGTAGCATGGGGAGTCCAGCTGTGGTTGGGAACCATGAATTTCTAGTAGTAGTATTCTGTGTGGTCGTTGGATTTTCTCCAGGAATAGGACTGTAGGAACCAACAAGCTGGGTAGCTGGAAGGAAGGATCATGGACTAGGTGGGACGAGGGTGCGGAGTCTGGGCTGGGTGGGGCTGGTGCTCTATCATGGGTCTAGTCTGAACAGAGTAGAAATGAAAGGGTGGGGATTCTGATGGGGAGAAAACAGATAGTGGTCGGGGATTAGAGGGCTTGCTGAAACGGAAGACTTAAGTAGTAATGAGAGGAGGGCGTGGGTAAGATCCAGGAGGTGAGGAAGTTGCAAAGGCATATGGGATATGTAAGATTGAAGGAAGTGGAAGGGCTTTAGATTGGGCCCATCCTCAGTGTGGCCCTGTAAGAACTGTTGATTTTCTGTTGCATTTGGACCGCTCACTCAATGATGTAATAATTAAGGTAATAATAAACACTTCTCAAGATTTTACAAGGTTACTTTATAGATGGCAGAATTAAAAAAAAAAAGTAGTAAGCAGAGTGTTTATTTTTTTAAAATTACTTAAAAAAGGTTGTTTACAGAGATGTGGATTTACATAACTTGGCGACAACATTTTAAAAATGTACAGGCTATTTCATATTATTGCACTTACTCTTCCATAATATATAAGGCATTTTATTTTACATAAATAAAGGATAATGTAGAATATCATACAACAGGTGTGGTGCCAATTAAGTCAACCATAAAATTAAATGAGATGTGTTTCGGAGGACAGAAATGCAATCCAACTTATTTCAATCTTCACAGAATATCCTTGCAACTACAGTTTACTTGTTACAACACGTATTTACCCTCATAGCTTATTGTGGATGACTGATGCATTAGAAAACTGAAACAATGAAAGTTTTAGTAGGATAATAGAATACCATTAGTGCTCACTTCAGGAAGTGTGGGGATTAGACTCATTAGAAATACTAGTCATGCCTTGAACACTGAAGACAAATAAGTAGCTTTCGATCTGAGGGTCAGAGATAGTTTAGCCTTTTGCTTTCTCCCTTAAGTTCCAACTGTTGGCCAGGGAAACCCTTCTGGCAAGATATACTAGAAGTGATGACTTTAGCCTACTTCAGTGAGTGAAAGGTCCACCCTTGTCCTTTTCAGAGAAGATGATCAGAGACTCGGAAGGAGACTGTTCCATTGCGCTGAACTGCTCTAGAAATTCCGGTCTGTTCACATAGGACTGTGAATTTCTTACTAGGAGGCACAGCTGGAAGAGTGGAGGCAAATATTCTTACCACTTAGGCAAGAAAGCAGAAACCACACCCCTGACCCCAGAGACTTAAAAACAATCTAGCATGCACCTTGCACTGACTGCCTACAGAATCCTACCAGGAAGTGTAGTGAAAAGTAGAAGTTACATGAGTCATGTCTTTCTAGCTAACTCTTGTACTACATTCTCTTCTGTATAACCTGTTTAAAAAAAATGAGAAGTCTGGGCTCACACCAGCCAGATACTTCATTCTCATCCGAGAGACCCCTGTGGGCCAACTCGGCAGAGGTTTTATGGTAAGGGAGGAGTCCCTCGGAAAACGATGTACAAAGGTGACAGCGCGAGCATCTCCGTGATGGGGGCAGGGGCGGGTGTACAGTGACCTCACTTCTGTTCTCTAAGCCACAGATCCAGGCTGCAGGTTACTGAAGGAAGCGTCCAGCACAAAACCTGGGCGGCGTCCCGCACGCAGTTTGGCGTCCTCACCCGTAGTCCCAGGACTGGAGCAGCTGGTCTGGGTCCCTCTCGGGTCGGGGTTGTGCAACACAGTTCTGTTTCTTTACCTTGAAAGAGTGACTCACCCGCATTCCCCGTTGTCTTCTTTTTACATTTTGGTAAGTGAAGCTGACGGAGGTTTGGAATTTAAGAAAAGAAGGTGCAGTACGAAGGAGAGGAGCCAGTTTTGGGACCGGGAGCAAGAGCATATTGACTGGGAGCGGCTACGGGGAGAAGTCATGCTTTGACAGGAGAGCAGCCGGGACCAGCTTCACGGGCAGTGTGAGTCACGCCAGTCTTCTGCAGGGAACAGTTTGGGCCAAAGGAAGAATTTGCAAAACAGGAAAACACCAGCAGCAAGCAGTCCCTGCAGGGGCGTCGTCACAGCCAGGTCAGGAAGGTGGGCTGGTGCTTAGAAAGGGGCCGTTTCTTAAGCTTGTTGGCCAGGGGGAAAACCAACCAACCAAAGTCCCAAAAGGATGATTTTTAAGCTCTGCCCTTTGGATTGTAAATGTAATGCCTATGTTTATAAATCCAAGGATGCTAAAAAGATTACTAAAAATTTAGCTCAGTGTTGGGAGTGCATGAAATATAGAAATGGAAACCCAGTGACTATAGTATTTCTGCCCACTCCTGTGTTGACTGGTCTTGAATTCAAGCACTTACTCAAGACAAGTTCCGAACCATGTGCAAGGTGCTTTCAGAGCTGGAACCCGCTGCTCGTTCTAAGCAGCAGAGTTCATGGCTAGTTAGTACGGTTTATCAGAACAGCGTTTCTGTAAAATAGCCTTACGACTTACACTTTCAGATCACGATCAACACTTCATGATGATCAGTAACCCACGGAGTGAACCCTGCAGCCACACAGTGCACAGGACACTCACTAAAAAAATACCACTTTCCGGATTTTGCTTTTTCATTTTTGGATAATTCCTGAGCTCAGCTTAACTGTTAGGTCAGAACTGATTTTTTTAAGTCTCACTTTCTTTTCACCATAATGTACAGACCTACAGCTCCTTCCACTGAATGTGCCTGAAAGCATTCTCTTACTTACAAAATTATATAAAACTGTAGTCCTTTATTTGTGACATTCGCGTCGCCCCTCAGACTTGGTTGGCTCCCTCACTACCAGGATTAGGTCTGCTGAGCGAGGAGGCAGGAAGGACGCGAAGGTCTTAAGTAAATATTTTGAATGAAGAAGGGCATGCCACATCTTGTGTCCCCATCAATAAACACAAAAAGGGAGGGAAGAGGCACCGGAAAAAAAGGATCCCTCCTGGCCTCGGTCATCCGGGTAGAAGGCTTCCAGAGGTCAGCGCCATTGCCGTCGCACACACAAGAGGTCAGCTCCACAAAGATGTAAAAACCTGGAGATTTCTGTTGTCCTTGCCTATACCAAGGTTCCTGTGCTGTTTTAGGAACCCAGTGTTGAAAGAAGTTGTTCTGATTTGCTAAAGTAAGGGAACTGAGAAAAGGAGGTGGTTGTTAAAAAATGTAACAAGCCCCACTCGTGAGCGTCACTCCTGGTGCCTGTTTCAGGAAGAATTCCTGTGCTTCCGAATCAGCAACTGCACGGGTCCCTCCGGGACTGACTTCATAATAGTCCAGGCATCAAAGTGCATGAGCCCCACCAGGGGTTTCCCGTTAATGGCAAGAATTTCATCTCCGGCTTCGATTGTTCCCGCTTGTTCGGCTGCTCCACCTGTGAGAATAAACAGACAGCAATGCCGGGGCAACCTCGCAGGATTTCAGGTAAATTCTGGGCGAGCTAAAAACTCAAATGAGAAAAATCTCTGAACGACACGCCCATGATTCTTAGGAAAGGGAAACAGTCCTTAAAACACACAGAGCGTATACCCATGAAAAGAAATTTAGCTATGTAAAAATACTCAAATTCCCTCAAACACGCTATGGACTAGGAGAAGGCAAATTTCAACATATATAATCAAAATCCAGACGGACAGTTGACGCAGGAAAACAGGTTCCGCCTCTATCCGGTATACTGTGACGGCCCCCCGGTGCCTATGGAGAATACTTACACGGCCCTACGTACTTCCCCATCACCGCTGTCTGTACGACAAGCTTGTGGGTGTGCTACATATACCACATATGGATACTCTTAATACTATGACATTACATAGAATATGACATACAGTAGATTTTTCTATGTACTGGTATTAGTATAATAATACTTTTTAGAAAATTGTTTAGAATTAGCATGTGTGAGAGCTGGGGGGTGAGCGGCAGAGGGGGAGAGAGAATTTGCAAGCTGACTCCCTGCTGAGCGTGGACCCCCCCCCCCCCCACAGGGGGCTCCATCTCAGGACCCTGAGATTAGGAACTGAGCCGAAATCAAGAGTCAACTGCTTAACCAGCTGAGCCACCTAGGCATCCCCAGGATAATTATACTTTTAATATAATTGTTTAGCTTGAGAACCTGAAGAGATTTGTGAGAACTGTCCAAGATCATAAAATGACTGATCAAGTTCATAAAGAGACCTCTTATCTACCACATGTTTCAATCATCTTTACTGCTCTCAGCATCCTTTCCTGAAGTCCTGTAATTGAAGTCTAGTATTCGAAACGAATACTATCTCGGTCCATGGTAATTACCCTGACAGGCAATTCTTGATGGCACTGGCTTGGTATGTTTACATCAGTCCCAGCTAACATTAGTTACGAACATGGAGTTTGGGCTCTGGTGTAGAGGTTAGGGATGCTGACCCTGGCGCCTGACTGCCTAGGTCCAAGCCTCGTTTTGCCCCTTCTGTCCGTGTGACCTTCGGTGCTTGTGTAATTCCCCCGTGGCACACACCGTCTTTTGTGAAACAGGGATAATCGTACCTATTTGATAGGATTATTGGGGGGGGGCAACAGGAGTTCAAACACGTAAAATACAACAGGGTTGACATACAGTACACCCTGTATGTGACAGAATGCAAACGTTTTCTAAATGGAAGGCACAGGCACACACAGGAGAGAGCCGCCTGGCTTTTCCAGGGCATTACCTTTGTATACTCTCTTAATGAACAGGGGCCCGTCTCCCGCCGTTGAGGATTTCCCTCCGTCCAGACTCAATCCCAGCCCAGCGGAGGTCTTCAGCACTTCGACACACAGCGCATCGTGTGAAGGAAGGCTTCTCCCTGCAGCAACGACATTTGGAAGGATGGAAATGACAAGGACACTCATCACCTCCTCTCCCATCCCCCAAGTGTCTTACCCTAGCACCCGAGTCCCATCTACCTCTGAAACCAGCGTGAGGATGGGTCTCTCAGATTTGGAGCTGACCTCGTGGCTGTGTTCCTGCTGTACCTGCACCATTTGCTCTTCGAGGCATTTTCTTTAAAGATTTATGTATTTATTTGAAAGAGCACGTGCACATGAGCAGGGGAAGGGCCAGGGAGAGAGGGAGAGATGCAGACTCCCCGCTGTGCTCAGAGCCCCACGCGGGGCTCGATTCCAGGACCCCAGGATCGTGACCTGAGATGAAATCAAGAGCCGGATGCTCCACGGACTGAGCCATGCAGGCTCCCCTCAGCACTTTCTGGAAGCATGGAGGTGGCTCTGGTGCCCAAGGAGAAACCCTCAAAGGCCAGACTGCTCATGGCAAGCTCCACGCGCTGTGGTGGTGTGTCTCGGTGAAGCCACGCTTGGGGAATCAGATCCGATCTCCTGCCGTGTGTCACAGGCCAGGACTGATAGCCTGCAACACCCTCACAGGAGACTGATTGTGGACCCCAGAGCTCCGCGCCTTCCCCCTTCGGCCGTGCATGCTTATCATGCACCAGCGGCCCTCGCCTCTCTCCATGGCAGGGTGCAGAGTGTGGGAGGCACGTTTCCATGGCGGTGGGTCCTCCACTGCAACCAAAGTGTGCCCGCTCTGTGTGCTGGTTTGGAGAGGCCCGGCTGGGATCCATCCTGAGATCTGAGTAGCGATGGTGAGCTTGCCTCTTACTCCTCTTCCTGACACACTGCGCTGGTGAAGGATTTGAAGAGGTGAGTGGAAAGGCATGCCGAGCTCTCTGGGAGGCAGGGGAGGGACCACAGATTGAACTGCCCCCTTGGGGCTTGAGGCCAAGGTAGCCAGCATCCCTGCCTTTGAACAGAAAGGTCAGTCCATTAGTGTGGCTTAGAGAAGGTCACTCCATGTTCTGCGGGGTCTGAAGGCAATGTGTAGACAGGAGCAGCATGGTTTTCAGTAGGTCAGTCGCTTGCTGGTAAACAGAACAGGCCTATTACAGTAGCTCTCAGCTCTGGCCCGGTTCTATTGAAACCCCTAGGCACCTTAGAAAGCTAGTGACTCAGGACCCCGGCCTCCGCCCTCACCCTTCAGGGTTTCTGATTTCATTGAGCCGGTGAATTTGCTGGGCAGGAGGATGGCCCTGTGCAACCTCCTGCCTCCGTCTCCAAGTGGGATACTCTCAGGGCACGTGAAAGGATAGTTCCTTGGGTTCAGGTGGAGCCCTGGGCAGGGGAATTTTAAGGAATAGGAATATGAAAAAATAAAGTTTAAGTCCTGAAAGTGCTTATGATTTGGTGACTCTGTAGAATCTGGTTCAAGACCAGATGTTCTGAAGGTGTCCCAGGAATACTTAATGATTATAAATAACAGGATAGCCTTCTGTATCCTGAGTACATGAGTCTTAAACATTCTGGAAGTTGCTGGGATTAAGCGCCAAGTGGTTTCCTGTGACGTTAAGTTTCTCGGATCCACTGAGAACATACGAAGTAATGGAGACAGCGCTGGGGCAAAGGTGAGCGTGACACGGTCTGATGACTTAAGGTGTTTACCAATACTGGGAAGGGTTTCAGTCTTCAAGCAGCGCAAAAGCAAGACAACAGAGGAGAAGGGTGAGAATCCTCCAGGCCCGTGGAGGCATCTGGACAAGAAGAGTTTCCCACCTGTTTGGCAGAAATGAGTGCTGTTTTCAGCAAAGCAATCATGGATGGCCCAGGCCACCATGAGGCCAAGTTGAAGAGAGGAATTCAGCTTCCCTTGACTTTATTAGGGAGAGATGTTGAGAAGAAACCAAAGGCCTCCTCAGAAGGAGGAGCTGAAGCCTGAGCTTCCACAGGTTCTTCTTGCTTTCAGGACTGAAGACATTGCTCCTGAACTCCAAGAGAGAAACCACCACAGAGGTCTGAAGTAGTTCTCTTGAAGGCCGCATTCAGCCCAGTGCTTCAGAAATAGAAGTGGTACTTAGTTCTGAGCAAATAGCTCATATGCCTTCCCAGTGAGCCTTGTGATAACAGGATGGACAGCGCTTAGGAAATCCACTTCTGAACCTCTTTATAAGTTCTGTTGGTTAAGGCTAGAGTCTGTTTTCAAACATCTGTGCCTCCTCATTTCCTTATGTTCTTCTAAAACCGGAAAGAATATAAACCCTGGTGTTTTCAAGGACAAACGGTAGTTCTGCAATTTCTGCATACTCTCCATGATTCCCCTTATCACAAGAGTTTTGTGTTTTACCTACTGGCCACTTAAGTCCTAAGAAGATATAGCTGTGAAAGGGCTTCCCTTTCCCTCACAGGCGGAGAAACCGTCAAACAGTCGTTAAGTCTTCAACAGTATGGCTTTCACTACAGGGGGCAGTGGTTTCTAACTTACTAGGAACACTTTTTTCAAGAAGCATCCACAAACATTAGACTTTACTACATTTGATTTCTTATTTCTTCTTTTTTTGAGGGGGGGATGATTTGGGGGGCAGTGGGAAGAGCAGAGGGAGAGAAAGAATCCCAAGTAGGGTCCAAGCCCGGTGTGGAGCCTGATGCAGGGCTCAATCTCACAACTCTGAGATTTTTTTGACCTGAGTCAAAATCAAGAGTCCAATGCTTAACTAACTGAGCCACCCAGGGGCCCCTCCATTTGATTTTGCAGACCCCGAGAGCAGTAGTTAAGTTCCTTTTTGTCCAGCCAGGATCTACTCTGCCGGCTGCCCACTCCCTGCCAGCTGTTGAGCTGGTGTCTTACCTAAACCGGGCTCCAGGGTGCTGGTCTTTCTGGAGAGCGAGCCCTTCCCGTTGGCTTCCTGCCTACTGGAGGGTCTGGGCTGATCGTTCCCTTTCTTGATGACCACGAGGACATCTCTGTGCAGCTGTGCTTGGTGCAGAATCTTGAGGACGTCCCCATGGGCTAAGCCAGCCAGTGAGGCGCCATTGACGGACAGAAGGAAATCCCCTCGGTTCACAGTCCCTTCCTGAGAAGCAGCCCCCTGAGAACACACCCTGTGCACCTGGAGCGAGGAAAGACAAAAGCCAAAGTATTTGGAACCTTCAGTAAAAGCAAGAGGGCCGATGCAAATCTGTAGTAGAGAACTTTCTACAGGCAAGTTTGCAAAATCCTACAAACGTTCACTGAAAGCCTATATGCAGTGAGGGATGGAATTACAAATGTCAGTGCCGGCATCTGAATACAATACATTTTCCCCTCAACTTCTCGCTAGCGTCTAATCTGTGTGTGGCGCTTCGTGGGGCAGAAAGGTCACAAAAACAAACAGGACCTGGTCTGGTCTCACGGGTAATCTCAGAGGCCTTCGAGTGATCTAAAATTGGAGGTGGTTCTTGAGAAGGAAGTAATTTCAGAAGCATATGCAGATCTGGTCAGTTAATTCTAGTGTTTTCCAGTGCTTAAACAAAATGTTCAGGTAAATATGAGGAAACTCCAGAAAACTGTGGTTATATATATTGGCATCGAATAGGTCACTCTGTGGTAAATGTGTGTTATCTTTGCCAGTGACTAGTAATGTCTGTCCCCTACTTTTCCATTTTTGCTCTATTAGGAGGAAACAAACACCAGCGTTCTTAGAACACACGGACAGGATTTTGTCCTCGTCACCTCTGAGGCTGCATCAGGAGTGACCTCCCAGAGAGCATCTTGATGTGGTCACTTACCACAATTGATTTTGGCTCCACGTCTGTCCCTCCTGCCACAGTGAATCCCAGACCTGAGCCTTCTTTTTTATTCAAGACTATGAAGCAAACATCTTCTTTATTCTAGTAAAGAGAAACAGAAAAAAGTCCAGCTGGCCTCTGAATAACCCGGGGGGCGGCTCACCGACCTCTGCTCCATCAAATCTGCAGAGAATGCTGACCCTAAAACTTAACCACTAATAACCTGCCATTGGCTGGAAGCCTTACTCAGAACAGAAACAGCTGGTTAATGCATGTTATACATGTTCTCTGTGTTGTATAAAGCTAGAGAAAAAGGTGATTAAGAAAATCATAAGGAAGGGGCGCCTGGGTGGCTCAGTGGGTTAAGCGTCTGCCTTCGGTTCAGCTCATCATCCTGGGGTCCTGGGATCGAGCCCACATCGGGCTCTCTGCTCAGTGAGGAGTCTGCTTCTCCCTCTGCTTGCCGTTCCCCCTGCTTGTGATTGATCTCTCTCTCTGGCAAATACAAATAAAATCTTAAAAAAAAGGAAAATCATAGAAGAATGCATTTATAATTCTGTAAAAATCTGGTGCATAAGTGGACCTGTGCTATTCAAGAGTCGGCTGTCTGTCCCTCGTGCCAAGGGTTAGGAAGCTCTGATGCAAGTGAGTCCTGGTGCAGGGCCGTCGAGCTGCTCAGCACAAACCCGGTGGTTACTCGGGAGCTTTCGCACAACACTGGAATGGGAAGAGCTTCGTCTCAAGCGTCCTGCACCCCTCCTGGGTGGTGCTGACAGGAAGGCGTTTTGAGGGACACCCTGTAGCTGCAGGTCCGCAGGGTGGACATGAACCAGGACGCAGCAGGGGCAGCGGACAATTTAGGAGCTCTTCCAGGCACCAGAGAATGCCTTCCCAAATCTGAGCAGAGCACATCATCTGATAACGAAGGGGATTCTTTATTGCACAGCTGTGTACGTCTACAGTCGAGCCAAGCCAGTGTCAACAAGAACAGAGAGAAGTAGTGCCAAGAGGAGGCAGGATGAGAGACACTGAGGCCACTGATTTATGTCCCTGTCCTGTCATGTTCAGTTCACTGGATTTCAGGTGCAGGTAAGGAACTATCATAAAATACAAAATATGTTAAAACATATAAACTACCTTAAAACTGTCAACTCTTATCGAGACTAGAACATTCCTAGTAGTGTCCTAGGGTTAAGTAGCAAAAGACTGTCCTATGTTTCAAGCACCAAACAAAAGATATTTTGAAATAAAATACTTCAGATAACTGAGTTGGGCTAATTATTCTGAATGGTGACTTCCTTCGCTCCCACACTATCTGATGGAGCACCATCTTAAAGGTCTGCATTGCTAGGTTCCCCACGGAGTGATATACAATCTGTCAGTTCAAGGTGTTCCCAGCCCAGCAAGAGAAAAGAATCTAGTAAGAATAACCCTTCAGTGTTGCTTTGATGAGAAAGAGTGAAAACACTAAACAGAGAGAACCATCTCCGTAGTGTGCTAGGGAGGGAACCCAGTATTTAAAAGAAAAAGAGTTCAGTCCTATTAGTGTGTGCTAAAGCGCAACCCCAAGCATTTTACACCTCCCGAAAGACGTTCATTCAACCCAAATCCCCACAGGCCGACACTAGAATATCGCGCAGACTGACGGTCAAGTCCAGCCGTTTCCGCAGTCAGACCCTGCTTGGTGCAGGGAATGAGGACCAGGCTTTCTCAGTGAAAATGGGAGCATGTGGTCTGGTCAATGACTTCTGTGTAGCTTCTGGGAGGTGATGCCTGATACTAAAATAGTACTTCTCAGAGACTTAAATGCCTTTATGGGAGCAAAGACAATATTTGAAAATGGAATTCTCTTGCATTCCAGGATACAACACCAAAATTTTAATTTACTCAAATTTATTTTCTACTCCTGTTTAAAGATACGAGTGTCAGGCCAAATCTCATCTCTAAGTAGCTCAGCACAGCATCAGGGAAGCTACATGCACTGAGAGCTCCCCAAGGTTTGGGTGTGCTGGGGTCAGAGGGGCCCAACTGATTTTTCTGCCTCTGATCTCTCACAGCGCCTCCATCAGGAAGCCGTGGGAATTGCCGTGCACAGTTCCATTTTTAGCGTCCCCACAAACCACACTCACTACAAAAGCAGGCAGGAAACTTCTGGGGTTGGTGGCATGAGCACATCTCTGCTCACGTGAAAGCAAGTGAAGACTGCAGGATTATAAGGGGGAAAGCCTCGTTCTGATCCAGGCAGGAATGCCCTTCCACAGTAAAACATAGTATGGTCTCGTGCAAAGTGTGGAACCAGAGCCAGGTGAGAGGGGAGGTGGGAGGCCCGAGAGGATGCCCCCCACCTCTCCTGGTGGCACTTGGCATTCTGTCCACATAAAGAGTCTCCCCTTTTGTTTGTGGTCCCTGAAAATGGCATCCCGTTTGTGAGCTGGTTGAGACCTTTTGATTTTCTCCTCCATTTTCTCTAACACTGTAATTTAGTCTGGAGGAAAAGGGACCCGGTGAACCGTGATCCCACCGTGCCACCTGGATTGGAGATGCCAGAACAAGACTTGCAGGAGGGCGACGCTTGCTTATTGTCACAGGTTGAAGGAAGAAGGGAGATGACAGACTAGTCCCTTTTACTAAAAGTGAAAATACTGGATGTCTCGAGGTTCACCGCACAGACCCAAACCAGTGGGCTGAGGACCAGAGGGAGTATAAGCTAAGGGCCACTGTCTCTTCCCCATCCTGGTTCACTCCTCAGTAGATGCCAACAGCACAGCCCTCCTGGGTAATATGAGAATTTCTGGAACAGTGTTCTCGGACTTACTAGTCGAGAAGATTTGTTCATAGTTCCTTCGTTTCTCTAAACAACTATTAGGGTTCAAATCTCTATGGGTAGTCCTGAGAAATTAATGTTCTTCAGCGACACATTCTAGATATGAACCCATGGCTTCAGTTTGTTGAAGGACCTCATCTGTAAGGACCACCGTGTCTCGAACCTCAGGCTTCAGAAGCTCCTGGGCTGCGGGCCCCGGCAGGGCTACACAGACGCGCTAACCCGCGTCCCCAGCAGGTGGCTCCCTTGACAAGTAGTTGAGGTCCAGGGATGCGCTTGTGGTCCTTCCCTCCCATCTCCAAGCCCCGACTTCCGTTCTGAGGACCCTCGGGGGACACACTCCAGACGTGGGGGGTGAGGAAGGCAGCTCGTCACTACTGGGGAGTCACACCAGCAGCTGCGCCTGGATTCCACAAGGCCTACCTAGCTCGAGGAGCGAGCCGCGGAGTGAGACCGCAGTCAGACCCCGCTGAAGAGCTCCCCGCACGGGACCCACTGCAGGTCCCGGGGCTCTCTGGGCTCGGGGGCCCAGTCTGAGTGCGCATGCGCGCGGCCGCTGCTCCCTCGCCCCCACTTGTCCGGTTTCGCTCACCTCCGATTGTGCTTTCGCTTCCTGAATGAGAGTGAGGACGGTAGATGGGGACCCCACTGATGACAGAACAGACTGCACTCTTTGCTGGTCCCCCGCTGAGATGAGAAGCTGATCCAAACTAAAAAATATAAATATATTTGAAGAACATTAAAGAAAAAAAGCGATTTTTCCATTTCATAAGGACATATTTTAAAAGATCTCCTTTCTACCAAATCATGCTCTCTTTCGTTCCTAACAACTCTCCATGCAAACCAAGGGGAATCCTGAGAGCTCTAATAGGAACTTATTCGCTGCCAACAGCTCGGGGAAGGACTATGGCTTCTGGGATCCCTCCAGAATGTTAGGGAACCAATCCTGGAGCTTAAAAGAAAATTTCTGACCCACTAAAAAATATTCTTTAAAATATGTTAGAAATTTTCTGCTGAACTCTGGTCACCTTCAAAGGCCCAGGTTCTCCCCCGAGGTGCATGGTAGGTGCCAAATCCCTTCCAGGCTCCTCTCCTGGGCTACAATCTAGCAAAGACTTTCTCTGCAGGCACTGTATGTTCTAGTATTGACATTAGAAACAAAGGGGCTAAACGTAATGTGGCATCCTGGAAGAGAAAAAGGGGGTTAGTGAAATTTGTTCGGTGAAATCAGAATGAAGTCTGTAGTTTAGTTCATCGTGTTCTGCCAGTGTTAACTCCTTTTGCCAACTGAACCATGAATACGTCCGATGTTCACATCGGGAGGCGCTGGGTGAGGGGTTCTTCACAGGAGCTCTCTGCGTTCTCTCTGCAACTTCCCATAAACCTAAAGCTAGTTCCTACTTCTTTTTGAAACGTTTATTTGAATAAAAGGGGAGAGGCAGATACTTACTTGACTGACCAGCCTTTTCCAGAAGGCAGATCCCGGGTGGTTTCACCCACATGATGGGCCGCACTGGGTCCCCCAGGCTCACTGGCTTTAGGGCTGCTTCTTCCTGGACAGGCCCCATCCCCTGGCTTCATGGGGCATGGAAGGGCGGTGGATCCACCGAGGCCTCCAGCGGGAGAGCCGAGTGACCTCCTGGGGACGATTTCCAGCTCGGTTTTGAAGAGCCCGGCAGTGGGCCTTGCCGGGAAATCCTCGCTGCAGAGCTTGTCCAGGTCTGGCATGCTCAGGGCACGCAGCTCCTGGAGCTTGGAGCGGGACAGGGGCGACGGCTGGGTGTGGCGCACGGAGGACTTGTTCCTCTTGCTGGGAGAGGCTGGAGTCACAGTGGGGGTGGGAATTCCAGAAGATTTCTTTGGGTCCAGGTCGGGGCCCTTGTTCCCAGCCTCTGCTGGGTTCTGCCGGGAGACTGTCAGCGTCGTGCTGGACGGGGACTTGCTCATTTGGGGGATGAGGGTGCTGGCTTCACTTTGGCTTTCGCTGCAGGAACTCAGGCTGCGTCTCAGTAACCTTGCTGTCACGTCAACAGGGTGGCTGAGGCCCCCCGAAACAATGCTGCCAGATGACCGTCTCCCGATGGGAGGCTTGGAGCTTACTGACAAAAAGGGGGACGCCCCAGACTTGGCCACCAGCCGGTCCGAATTGGCCAGGTTCTCAAAAGACTTGATCCTCTGCTTCACAGAGAAAAATGAGGTAGATTCATAGTTCTGCTCAGGGTAGTAATGTCTTCTGGTGACTTTGATTTTGTCTGTGACTAGACAGCTCCTTTCTTGCACTGAAAGGACATCCCCTTCATCTGTGGTCGGAAGGTTCCTCGATGTCTCCAGAAGGGGCTTTACGCTATATACGCCCTGTCCATTAGCCAGGCCAAGGACACTGCCTCTGGTTGCCTTGGCCTCAGGGAGGCCCCCACTTGTTGCAAGGATCTGGCTGTCCCGATGCGAGCGACCTGGGCTGGGCAGGCCATGCCCCTCCCGGCCAAAGTGGCTTGAAAACTGGGCAGGCATGGAGTAGGTCCTGGTCGCCGGCCTTGGTGTGAAGTATGGATGGTCATCTAGTGCTGGGCCCCCTGCTGCACCATTCCTGGGCATCCCTAGGGAGCCTGACGCCTGGCTTGCCTTCGGCTGGGAAGAATCGGCCTTTTTCGCAGGGAGTTGTGGGGAGGAGGAGGAAGAGGCCAGTTTTGCCACGCCGAAAGGTCGCTGGCTTTCCGGCTCCACCTGGGAGGCACGAGATGGGAGCGATGATGGCTGATGTGGGGTCGGCTCCAGGTACTGGTGACAGGGTCTGATTTCACTCTTGTCCTGACAGTTGCTCTGGGCCCAGAACCCTCCTAGTCTGTCACCCTCAGCGGGCTTGTCACCGCAGCCATTCTTTGGCATTCTCTCACAAGAGATTTCCACTATTTTCAGCTGGTTGGTTCTCTCTAGGGGATCGCCAGCAACTATTTTGCTTCCTCTGTCGCAAGTCACCCCTGGTTGGGCTGCCTGCAGTGCCGGATCCGTCTGGCTGGACCCGCGCCTCGCGCTTGGCCCTGGAGATGGGACGTCCTGCCCGCGGGCGGCTGGGGACGCGCTGCTCCCCGAAGCTGCAGGGGGCGCCCTGCTCTCTGGGCTGCACCGCGGAGACGCGGGGGCGGCTGCGTAAGGGCCGTCAGGCTCCGGGTGGAAAGCCGCCTGCGATCTACGGCATGCGCCTTGCTCAGGAAGGGTCCTGGGGGAGGTGTGGGGCGAAACGGAGGCTGGGATGCTCGTCTCGGACGCGGGGGGCTTCGGCGACCCCGAGGCAGCAGGCGGCCGGCTCTCCAGCACGCACTGCGGGGGCCTGGGGGCTGCTGTGGCGCTCTTCTCCGGCTCCTCGGGCTCGGCAGTGTGGAACCGGGGGGCTGCTCCCTTGGGAAGCGCTCTGTGGGAGGCCTGGGGCGAAATGAGGGGTTTCCTGGGGTCCATCCCACCGGCCTTGGCCGCAGGAGCCGCAGGGGCCTCGGCAGTGACCTTGCTCTTGCTTTTGATGCTCAGTCTCTTCAGCTTAGGGCCGGACTTGGGTTTCTGACCGTTATTTAACAGTGTTTCCACGGAACCTTTTTTAGGTGGGTCTTTATTTTCCAGGCTCACTTTCAGCTGTGGGGGGCTCTGAAGCCCAGCAACCCCCTTTTTGTGGCTGGAACTCGACCCCTGACTTTTGGAGTCAGGACTCCTGGCGGGCACCACGGGCTGCTCCTTTTCCGTTTTGCCCTGCGCGGCCGAGCCGTGGTTATTTTTGTTTATTTCTTTAAACCAGGCCATGATGGGCCTCCGGGAGATCATTTTTGGTTTCTGGAGCGGGTCATCCACGCCCTGACTTTCGGAGACGTGCAGGCTCGTCAAAACGGATTCTCCATTCTTAGGGACATCCGCGCTGAAGGGGGACGGATTTTCAGTGGCATTGACGTTTGTGTCTTGTTTTTTATTGGGCGTTTTGTCACCGAGCAGGTCATGTTCTAGACCGTTTACCACGTTCAGACTGCGGAGAGTGACCGGAAGGCTGTGGAAATGCCCGGCGGCCTTAGGGGGCCGGCCGCTCTCCACAGCGGAGCCCGCGCGGGGGGCTTGCAGGGTTTCTTCTTCACACGGGAGCCTGGGGTTCCGTGACGGCCTTCGGTCTGCATGAAGCTCCTGCTCCCGAGAGCTTGTATCCAAGGGAGAAAACGGCTGCGAAGAGTCTGGAATCGAAGGGCAGGAGGTGCTAGGGACAAAGGACGCTCTCTGGCGCGGGTTTCCCACCACCTGACTGAGCGCGCTGTGCTTCAGCGGCAGCACTCTGGCCGGCACCGGGCAGGGTGCAGGCTGGGCGGGGGCGGGAGCAGTAGCTGAGCGGGGGTTGGGGGAACCATCTGGAGAACAAATCTCGATTTGCTCCTCCTCAGACTCCGTAGTGTTTTCCTTGTGAGAAGACCGGCGAGAATGAGGGGGTGACCAGTTGTCCCCGCTGGAAGCTCGTGGGGCTTCGCTGAGTGATTCCGGGTCAGAAGACGAGTCCTCTGCATCACCATACATGGATGAGAGGGATGGCTCTGTGCTGTCGCCGAGGCCTGACAGGGACATGCTGTCTTCGTGAAAACTGCTGAAATTTCTAGAGTAGTTGCTCAGGAAGTTTTTGTTCACAGTAAAATGTTTGTCAGGATTAATGGAATCCAAAACGGAAGGCTGGGAGGCCCAGTGTGGGTGAGGGGGCTGGCCAGCAGCTGCCCAGGTCCTCCTCGGGGTGGGGGTCTGGCTCCCCAGGACTGGCTCGGCAGGGCGGGAACCTCCGCTTCCAGCTCCTGCTGGAGGCTGGCCCTGAGAATGTCCCTCTTGAGTCAGCTGGTCCCCTCTGTGAGGAGACCGGAGTCTTGGTTCTGACGCATCCAGCTCCTTGAGGAGTTTGTCGATGTCGGTCACCGGACTGCCCCCGCGTTCCCTGGTGCAGCAGTGGCCCGAGACACTGCCACACACCCCATCAGCCTTGTCAGCAGGTGATGGCAGGGTGGGGCTGGCCTGCGGGGCCCTCTCAGACCCAGAGTCCGTTCCCTTGAGCAGAGCAGAGCCCCGGGAGTTTTCGGGTACGAGGACTGCTGTTGTCTGTGGAGCCTTGCTGTGGTTACCGGGAACTTTCGGTCTCTCCTCCTGGGACGTGAGGTCTCGAGACAGGGCGGTACCAGCTGGAGATGCTCGCTCTGCCTCAGGTCCTCCCCCGTGGGCAGCTGCCTTCCTGGGCGAGCTGGCTTCTGGGGCTGCTGGAGTGTTGCTGAAGTCATGCCGAGCCGCTGCCGTCTTCCTGGGGGATGAGCTGCGCTCCAGGCCGAGTCCCACTTGACATCTGTCCTCAGACTCAGGACCCCTGGGTGCCACTGGCTCTCTGGGGTCCTCAGGCCGCCTGGCTTGCCCTATGTCCATGGAGGTCTCGCTGGGGTCAGGATGAGCTGTCCCCTTCTGCCCTGGGGTAGGGACGAGGTCTGGGGGGCCATCCAGCCCTGGGTTGAGAATATAAATGAAAGGTGGGGTGAGAATATAAACAAGAGGTGGGGTGATAGGGGAGAGACAGGGGAAAATGTGAGAAAATAGAAAAACTGGTAATTAAAAAAAAAAAAAAGGAAAATTTAATCTGTGTGTGTTTTTTTTTTCCAGAAAGACCTTCTACAACCTAAATGTAGCCTTCCCGTCGTTCTGTTCTTGCCTCTAAAATTACAGAGCACTCACATCTAACAAATTCCACCCTGCTCTCGATGCGCTGAAACCCCTCAGACTGGCTGGCAGGATAAATCTCTGTTTCTGCCCCTTTCTCCCTTGGTAATTTTTAAGGATGGGGACATCAGAAATCCTTCACTGGGTCTCTTGACACCATCTGCTCTGATGGCAAAAGCCTCAGGAGTCAGGCTCGTTCATCCCTTCACTTTGTGGTTCATTCTGCGGAGGTCTGGGGTCTCCGGTAGCGCTTGTCGTGGGTTTGGCCTCAGGGTTTGGGTCGTAAGCCGTGCAGTGTTGCACAGTCAGGCGCGGACCTTGGGGGACTTACGGCTCAGTGCGGGAGAGGAGAGAGGAGGCAGATTTGGGAAGACACAGGGGAGCCGCAGAAGGATGCAAGCTGGACCCATGCCTGGACTGTGTCTTGAGTGTGTTCAGAGGCCCGCGAGTACTGCAAGGCCACGTGACCTGGGAAGTGGGGACAGAGGGGTGGTGACCTGACGGGGGTTCCGGGGGAAGAGGTGGCCACACGGAGATGAGGAGGAAGATGAAGAAAATGGAATGAGAGCAGGGAAGAAAGAGCATGTGATGGGAAGGGTGCAGGGAAAGGTGTCAATGCCAGGGACGGCATGACATGGTCATTCCAGGAGGTGGGTCCCAGAGAGCCTCTGTCCTGGGGGTACCTCCTTGTAAGGCCCTGCACACCCTCAGGCTAATCTGTGCGCCTCTGGCCCATGGCATCGGATAATCAGGGGAAACTGGCATAGAAGAGAACAGTAGATTTGCTATTTTCTTAGGAACCAGGGGTTATAGTGACACAGTCACAATGAAAGCACCTGCTTTGAGAAGACTGTCTACCCAAATGTTACACTCCTTCCTCATCTCCCACGCAAATCATCTTAATTGCATATGCCTTTCCCCTCCTGAAGTCCCTGTGTCAACAATGAAGGACTAATTATTAGCACTGTGCTACGAGTTCCTCATGCACTTAGTTTTCCTCCCAACACCATGAGGTGGGTCTGGTCTCCATCTGCTTTGGAACAGTAGGGAACTGAGGCACAGCGTGGCTTAGCAATGGGTGCAGGACCACAGAGTGTACAGCCAGGGGTCACCTGGGAAGTCAGTCCCATAGCCTACCCCATTCTCTAAACCCTGACTGCATGACCTCTGTGTAGACAGCACCTGGCCACAGCAAGGTCGGCCCATCAAGACCTCGTGGAGACTGTATGTAACTTCCCCAGGCCGCCACGAAAGGCGAGGGATATGCCAAGACTTGACTCCGTGGGCTCCTGTCCTTCTCTGCTCAACCTTTTGAATTCGCTTCAGAATGACTTTCCTGCTTCTGCTGGTGCCAGCCATGGGGAACAGTCACAACGAGACAAAAGGAGGGGACGTGAAGGTTATTCTCTAGCTTCGGATCCACTTGCTGAGCAAACCCTAAATTTTTATTAACAATCTGACTTTATTGCAAAGTGTGTAACTGAAGAGCATTTTTGAGGGAGGTTAAGTGACACAGAGGCAGTTCTTGATGTCACCCCCTTCCCCAATCACATCATGGGAAGGACGATGACTCAATTATGGCACACGATGGGGAAGAGGGCCCGGCAGGCTTTGCAAACGATGTTGCAGGTACGGAAGGCCACGGCAGACGTGGGTGCAGTTTCCTAGCTAGAGTCGGTCACAGAGGTGCTGAGGCAGACGCATTAGTGCTCAGGACGGCTGGCCGGGCCCAGCACCAGTCACCCAGGCCAAAAGCATCTTACTGACCTCAGTATGCTGCTCAAACATTATATTCTGCGGATGCAGGAAGTAAAAAAATATTTCTCCATGCATTTGATTTCACGTGAGCCAAGTATTGAAATTCTGAAGGGCAGGAACTCCTCTATGTCATCTCATGTCTCATTCATGAAGGCACCCATCACAAAATAGTAAGGAGTGTCAAGTGGCTGGAAATGGACCACTCTGATGTGGAATTAAAACTATGAGTTCAGGCATGATGATCTAGTAAAGTTAAACGCAGGCAGCTTGTAAATATCACTAATCTGTGGAAGAGGTTTTTATCCCGCCCCCCTCAAATTTCTCCACATATAACATTTTTATTAGGGTAAGGTCTGCTCTCCCATCTTGAAGCTTAACAAGCAATGAAATAATCTTACCTGTCCTGGGTTGTTGACCCTGCTCTGGTGCAGCTTCGAGCAGGTTCTCTGGGCAGAGGCCGGCATCTGGGTGGGGCGGGGCAGCGGCAGGCTCCCAGTTGGCAGGGACATGCCCATCGCCGACAGTCAGCTTCCCCAGAGATTCCTGGCACAATGACAACCACGAGTCACTCTTGACAGCTTTCAGGTTTTCTGTGCCCTAACACATCACACATGAAAGCTCTGCTTTAGGAAATTTCAGAGAGCCCTGGACTAGGAGCCACAGGATCCAGATTCTGGGGTTAAGGCCGCTAGAAATTACATGGTCTTGTCACTCTGCCTAAGCCTCAGTTTTCTCAACTTTGAAATGAGGGTGATCAGGGAAATGCAAATCAGAATCACGTGGAGAATCACCCGCAAGGGTGGCTGTGACCCAAAACGGAAATAACAGGTGTTGGCGGGGATGGAGACGAATGGGAACTGTGCGCATTGCTGGCAGGAATGGGAAATGGTACAGCCACTACGGAAAACAGTATGGACGTTCCTCAAAAAAATAAAAATAGAAATACCATACGATCCAGATACCACATTTCTGGGTATAGACCCAGAAGAATCGAAAGCAGGTTCTCTAAGAGATATGTGTACTCCCGTGTTGATGGCAGCACTGTCTGCAATAGCTAAAATGTGGAAGCAGTTCAAGCATCCATTGAGAGATGAATGGATAAGCAAAATATGGAACAGACCTATGATGGAATATTACTCAGCTTTAGAAAGGAAGGAAGTTCTGACACGTGTTACAGTCGGGATGAGCCTGGAGGACATTATGGGAAGTGAAGTAAGCCAGTCACAGAAAGACACAGACTGTCTGATTCCATTTAGATGAGGTACTGGGAGTTGCTGACATCAGGGAGACAGTGGAGTGGTGGTTTCTGGGGGCTGGTGGGAGGGGATGGAGAGTTACTGTAGGACGGGCACAGAGTTTTCTGGAGATGGCAGTGATATTGCACATTATGAATGTTTGCCCCTGAACTGCATGCTTTTGTAATGTGTATTTTACCACAGTCAAAAAACTGGGGACAGGGGTGCCTGGGTGGCTCAGTGGGTTAAAGCCTCTGCCTTTGGCTCAGGTCATGGTCTGAGGGTCCTGGGATCAAGCCCCCCATTGGGCTCTCTGCTCAGCAGGGAACCTACTTCCTCCTCTCTCTGCCTGCCTCTCTGCCTACTTGTGATCTGTCAAATAAATAAATAAAAAATCTTTAAAAAACTGGGGACAAAATGGAGATAAGACTTGCTCTGTCTACATGAAAAAGTGCTCAACATCACTCGGCATCAGGAAAATACAAATCAAAACCACAGTGAGATACCACCTCACACCAGTCAGAATGACTACAATTAACAAGTCAGGGAACAACAGATGTTCTCACAGATGCGAAGAAAGGGGAATCCTCCTACACTGTTGGTGGGAATGCAAGCTGGTGCAGCCACTCTGGAAAACAGCATGGAGGTTCCTCAAAAAGTTGAAAGTAGAGCTACCCTACAACCCAGCAATCGCACTACTGGGTATTTACCCTAAACATACAAATGTAGTGATCCTAAGGGGCATGTGGACCCAAATATTCATAGCAGCAATATCCATAATTGCTAAACTATGGAAAGAGCCTAGATGTGCATCAACAGATGAATGGATAAAGAAGATGTGGTACATATATACAATGGAATACTATGCAGCCATCAAAAATGAAATCTTGCCCTTTGCAATGATGTGGATGGAACTACAGGGTATTATGCTAAATGAAATAAGTCAGAGAAAGACAATTATCATATGATCTCTCTGATATGAGGAATTTTGGAGGCAGAGTGGGGGGTTGCAGGAGGCAGGGAGAGAAAAAATGAAACAAGATGGGATCGGGAGGGAGACAAACCATAAGAGACTCTTAATCTCAAGAAACAAATTGAGCATTGCTCGGGGTGGCGGGGGAGGGATAGGGTGGTTGGGTTATGGACAGTGGGGAGGGTATATGCTATGGTAAGTGCTGTCAATTGTGTAAGAGTGACGATCCACAGACCTGTACCCCTGAAGCAAATAATACATTATATGTTAAAAAAAAAGACTTGCCCTGTTTAACTCATAGCGTTTCATTTTATTTAACTTTTTTTTTTTGAGAAAGAAAGAGAGAGCACACGTACAGTGGGGGAGGGGTGGAGGGAGACAGAGACTCTTAAGCAGGCTCCACGAGCAGCACAGGGCCTGACCCGGGGTTTGATCCAACGATCCTGAGATCATGACCTGAGCCAAAATCAAGAGTCGGACATTAACCAACTGAGCCACCCAGGCACCCCTCATAGAGTTTTAAATAAAAGAGGATTAAGTGAACCATTATAGAAACCAAATGCAGCCCACAAAAGGCTTTCTAGGTGTAAGACATTATTGTCTTTATACTTGCATAATGATATCCAAGACTGTAAGATCAGCTCCTCAGTTTGGCACTTAGGGTTAGGACTTATCAGAATAAATGAAATTCACATTTACTATTTCAAAATTTCACTTTAGCCAAGTGTCAATTACTTTATCTTCCTTTCTTCTATCTAAAACCTACTATAAAATAAGAAAAGTCACTACGAAGTTATATCAGCTTTATTTAAAATTCGCCCTCTGAGTTAAGTAGTCAGAAAGTGGCCCAAAGGTGGCAGCAGAGGAGAGAGCTGAACTGTATTTTAAAATGTTTAATCTTGTTATATGATGTTGGTCTCCATTTAAAAAGTATTAAATAAAAACAGTAGAAGACAACGAAGAAGAGTTAAACTTCTGTGCAAAAGTTTTAAATGCATCTCAAAATTCTTATTGGGAATACTCATTCACAATGACAAAAGCTCTATATAAGTTATCATGAATAAAACCCGTGGTTTATATAGATATCCAAAACGGGCTGAGGATACTTTTTGAAAGAAGGGCTTAACCTATTAACTTTGCATTTTATTTTATTTTATTTTTTTAAAGATTTTATTTATTTATTTGACAGACAGAGATCACAAGTAGGCAGAGAGGCAGGCAGAGAGAGAGGAAGAAGCAGGCTCCCCGCCGAGCAGAGAGCCAGATGCGGGGCTCGATCCCAGGACCCTGGGACCACGACCTGAGCCGAAGGCAGAGGCTTTAACCCACTGAGCCACCCAGGCGCCCCTTAACTTTTCATTTTAAAACACATATGGTAAGGGGGCCTGGGTGGCTCAGTTGGTTAACCTCTGACTTCAGCTCAGGTCATGACCCGAGGGTCCTGGGATTGAGCCCCTCATCAGGCTCCCTGCTTAGCGGGAGACCTGCTTCTGCCTCTGCCCCTCCCCCTGCTTGTGCTCTCCCCCTCTCTCAAATAAATAAACAAAATCTTAAAAAAAAAAAAAAAAAGAACATATGCTAGTTGGAACCAATAACATTTTTTAGGAGGATGAAAAAAGATGGATGTTTCTATTTTTTCTATACAGTTAACAAAAATCCCTTCTGCCTAATACAGTTTTTATGACTTCATATTTTCTGGGTCTGTTTACACGTATGTTTGTATAAAGCACTTGAACACGCATCTTTATAAACACGGCCTTACAATCACCTCAGAGAGAAACTATTTATGTTGAGATCGTAAACAACATTCATTTCTCTTACACTCTCCTTGCTTAAGTGGAAGTTTACTGATTACAAATGAGCAATTTGACAATTCTACATCGTTGTAGCATATGTGCAATAAAGCTGTAACATAAATAATATTGACTTGCATCTAAAGTGGTGTGTTGTAAGTTTCTTTTTTTAAGATTTTATATTTAAGTAATCTCTACACCCAATATGGGGCTCACACTTAAAACCCCGAGATTGAGAGTCACATGCTCCCGACTGAGCCAGCCAGGCGGCCCAGCGTGTGATCAGTTTCTAGCGTGCCCATTATTTCATGTGATTCTCACAACGAGGGTATGAGTAGCTTTCATTCCACATAATCACCAAAGTCTGGAAGAGATAAGGGTCGCTCAGAACCTCATCGACTTGAGGGAAGCACTGTTAGGCTATGTTTGATGGTCAGCCCGGGTCTGGGAGACGATCTGGGTCCATAACTTGCCTCCGTGGTCCCCCACCTGCCAGCGGAGCAGACCCGGTGCTCTTCGCCAGTCTCCCGCCACCCTTCCCTCATCCATCATGGCCCCGTGTCCAGGCAAGAGAGTGATTTCATCATCCGGCAGGCTGATCGATGACCGGATCCCTGGGCACGGGCCCCCACCTGCCTGCTGATACGCAGGCAGGCTCCCGAGCAGCCCGTGGACGGCAATGGATGACCACTGCAAGAGAAGCGGCCAGCCACTGACCCTCTTCCAGGCGGGTTACGCACTCACACACCCCATCCTCACTCACAGGGTAGTGACTCAGGTCCCAAGTTATGAAGAGGAGATCAGTTACCTTTTCCGCAGTTCCCCCTGGATGAAAACCAGTCCTGGTCTCTTTGCTGGCAGTGGCCCGGACACAGGGGATGTTGGCTCCAGCGGTCAGGTGCACTGTCTCCGAGGTGCTGGGCCTGGCGTCAGCCTCGGGCCTTTTGTGATGTGGGCTGACTCTGGCCACTGGTTTGTGCCTGGACCCCAGGCTGTCATTCTTCTGCTGGGTGGACCTGGGGGGATCTGTGTTTCCCAGACTCTGGGTGCCTGTGTCAGCTTTGTATTCCAATTTGGGGGAACTCTTCGATCCAGAGAGCTCCTTCCTCCCTGAGCAGCCAGGGCCACCCCTGGAGGCTCCTGCAGAGGACAGCAGGTTGGCTGCTCGGGAAGAAGTGTCCCCCACACCCTCTGGGACACTCTCCTCTAAGTCCAGTGAGCGGCCAAGGAGAGGCACCGAGGAGGCCTTGCTGACCACGGTTTTCCGGGGCTGTTCCCCCCGGCTATTGATACCCATGACCTTGGAAGAGGTCATCAGGATGTGCCTTGAGTCGTCCTCTGTCAGAGGCCTGCTGGGACCGGGAAGGGTCCCCGGGAGAGAAATGCAGTCCCCTTCGCCATCAAACTCTTCCTCATCGCTAGCATCGTCTGTGTCATAGCAGCCCACCCTCCTCTGGCGGAGGAGCGGGTTCCGGGGGGGCTGCGGGCTTCCAGGAAGACTGGCTTGTCTGGCAACCGTCACCTGCTTGTGGAAGAGCCCAGAGGACCGCTGGCTTCCTAGTGTCACAAGGCTGTTGGCTCGGGGTTTTCCTGGCTCCTTGTGAGCTGGTGGGGATGGGGAAAGAAACAGTCAAATGAATAGGGTTTCCTGTCTGACCTCGTTTTATAAATCCCCCCCTCATTACACAGGAGCATTCGCACCCTCAAAACTGCTGGCCATTCAGCCTCTGGCCACTGATCACCCAGATTCAAGGATGTGGCCTCCTGGGATTTGCACCCAGTGGACAGCCGGCTTCTCCCTCTCCTTTTCCTAATGGCCTCCATTTTTGTTTGCTTAGTTTTATTTTACTTATTTTCTTAACCTCAACCTCTGGATTGTATGCTGCCTAGAGACAGAAATGTTTAATTCAATGTCCAGGATGCCTAACACACTGCTGGGGTTCAAACCAGATGCTGTTGCTGGGAAGTCCTCTTTGGGACGATGCCCGGAGACCAACCAGCCCCACACCCCTGCACCTTCTGATCACAAGAGGCCCTTCTTCATTTGCAGAGACGGCTGGGGGCGGGGAGGGGTGTGTGGCACATAGAAGCTCCTAGAGCACGGTACAGGGAAGCCTGAGATTATTATCTATGTAAGTTCCAAGCAGGGACAGGGAAAGCCCGTGCTGCTCAGCAAATCCTCCAGAGCTTGCTAAATGTACGGAGAATTACACCTGCCTTCCACCGTGTGATAGAAATGCTTCTATCAGGGGTGCCTGGGTGGCTCAGTGGGTTAAAGCCTCTGCCTTCAGCTCAGGTCATGATCCTAGGGCCATCGGGCTCTCTGCTCGGCAGGGAGCCTGCTTTCCTTCCTCTCTCTCTGCCTGCCACTCTGACTACTTGTGATCTCTGTCTATCAAATAAATAAACAAAATCTTAAATTAAAAAAAAAAAAAAAAGAAATGCCTCTATCAGAGACAAGAGTAAGCTTGTCAGCTGTTCCAAATGAGAGCCAGAGCTGTCAAGCCTGCCTATCCTAAGACAGGGATGTTCTGGTGCACACAGTAGAAACAAACAAACAAACGAACGAACGAACAAAAGAAAAGAAAAGGGAAAAAAAAAAAAAAAGCGAACCACACCAGTAGAAGCCGGAGGAATCAGTACGGTTCGCATCAGATCATTCTCTCATAGTATAGTGAGAGCGTGATCAAGGGGATTTAGAAGCAAACAACTGTTTGACAACATTGATCTCTTAGGAGTTCTGAATCTTTCACTCAACTGCCTTATTAAAACAATTCAGTTTGGGCCTGGTGAGGGAAGGGACCTGGGATTTGGCTAGGAATCCCTAAAACAGAAGGCTGTTAGGTGGTCACGCTGATTTCATGCCATAAATGTCAAGATGATGCTACATACGTAGGATCTGAACACTGACCAGGTGAGCCACCTCCAACGCTTGGGTACAGAACGTGCGCCCGGACCCTTTGACCCAGAACCAAGGGGCCAGTCGGTGGGGGGACGGGGGCTGCATTTTCCAAAAATAAATTCAGAATTTAGTCAGGGTAAAAAGTCGGCTTCTAGGCGACCAAAGCCATGGTTTCCAGGTCCCCGTTACATGTCCCCAGGACATTATACTGTCCTGCTACATAAACTAAAGGGACCCGAGTCGGAGAATAGCATTGTTTACTGGAGGTTTTGGCTGGGGGGCCACCGTCCTCAGAGGTGCTGCCGCCGCTACCCGGAGGGTCCTCATCCTCAGAAGCAGCCACCACGACGTCTGACAGGGAGCCTGGGACACTGTGGGCAAAGTATGGGGAGGCTTCGGCTTCAGAAGTCAGGGTGTCCTGTTGGAGGAGACGGAGCGGGATGAGGAGGAAGGCACGCCAGAAGGCGGTTACCTAAAACAGTAATTCCTGGCTTTCCAAGAACACTCTGTTCTCACCCATGGCCGTGTGCAGCAGTGGTGAGAGCAGACGCCCACTCCCGTGGACCCTAGGACGGCTAAAGTAAACAACTAATGAAAAAGGCAACAGTTGCTGCCAGACAATGTTTTTAAGAGACTTTTTTTGGCCAAATGTTTAGCGATGACCAGAAAAGCCACAGAAGCAATATATCAACCAACCCAGGAAAAACACTGGGGGAAGAGACAGGAAAATGGGACGCCATTCCAAGCCACTGGTTCAGCCTAGTGATGGAACAGAAAAGAGGGGAGTCTGAGTCCTGTGCTCTGATCCACTGGGACTGAGGCATCCCCAGCTGGGAAAGATTCCAAGTCTCCTTAAAGTCACAGGTCCCCCCAAAACCAACTGGGGACCCCTTTATCGTGGAGCAGTTTGAAAACTGCTTCTTAAATTGCAGCTCAGTTCTTTTATTGTTTCTCTATTCTTTCCTTAGTTGAGTATTTAATAAAAGAAACACCCATTTTTGTATCTTCTCAAATTAGCGGTGTTGTCATCATCTGTGAAGTAGCCAAAATGACTCCTGGACAAAGGCATGGGCTGGGCCCTCAGGGCTGACTTATGGGCTCCAGGAATTGGTTCATGATCCAGCGGAGTGGCGCAGCAGTGTGCCTTGACTCACCTTTTTTGCAAGAGAGGGACTCTTCAAGGGGGTACCTGTTGGAGAGAAAATTCACCAGAATGTCAAAACAGCAAAGCTCACATCCTTACAAATATTTTACATTCTTATCCACAAAAGACGGAGCCAAACACATTAATCCCCCTTTGCTTTACTGACACTGATGGGCCAGGTGCATATGTATAGACAGCCGTGTTCTTGACCTGGGTACCCGATCCCTACTCCATGCCACCTCCCATTTTCAGCTCCTGATGATGGGATGATCCCAGTCAGAAGTAACTTCTGAATCTTGAAAGTCTTTTGTATTGCCATTTCCATACACACAGTATAACTTAATTATAAGTGGATGCCCCTCATCTCCCTTCCTCAACTATGAAATGCTGAGACCTTTACTGATCTGACCCCACAGTGCTCAGCACTACACCTGGATCTGGGGAGTATTCAGTGCTATCTGTTGAGTGAACCTAAGGATCAACGAACAGAGAAACAACACACAGGAAACTCACGAAGGAACTCGGAGGAGGGCTGAGTACCTATTTTGGTTTTCAGTAGAAGGATGAAAAGATTTGGCATCGAAACTTTAAATTATGTGCCATGAGCAAAAAGATCTTGCGCATGAATTTCACAGCTTAATAAAATTTCATGAATGATGGCAGGGGTATGCCACGGTTATGAGGGGACAGCTCGCAGGCAGGTCAGGAGAAGGAGCCGGCCGAATAAAGAGCCCATTATGGCTGTGGCCACTCTAAATATATTAATTACAGATGTAAATAATCAGGGTATTACATGGCTGCCAAAAAATCCTATGCCTTCCTTTTCCTCTGACAACCAGTAACTCATATCTCAGTTCCTTTTTCTCCTGACATCAATCTTGACATCGGCAATATCTTGAGTTGAGACATGTTTGCAGAGTCCCTTTGGATTTCCATTCTACGGAAACATTACTTTTAAAACTTGATGCAATGTTTCCCATTTGAAATTCATAGGAAATTCTTACTATCTCAATCCTTCTCTGCCTGAACTTTTCCACTTAAGAAGGCGGAAATCATGATTTGGGGAGCTTCTATGGTTACCCCTCCTAAGTTGAAACCTAAAAAAATATCTACTTATTACTGAAGGAAGGTTGCCTTACTGGGTGGAAATCTTTAATTCACGTAAAGAAACCCCAGGCTTTGGGATAGAGAACACTCTGTGTCTACCAAACAACCGATATTTTGGTATTACTTTTCCTCCTCGGCTATTTCAGATGAATTACACATAAACGCGTGAAATGCTGTTAACTCACTTTTGCAAATCATCTCATAGTGTAAGAAGCATGCATGATTAGAACTTTAATAAAGCACATTAAGTAACAACAGAAATAAAAAACAGCAGCTGGGAGAAAGCATAGGATCTGCTTGACAATGACTTCTGGCAAACCCGATGATGACAAAGAATCCAGTAACCCGGCATGGGGCAGGGCCCCCAGGGGAGCTTCCTGAGAAGCTCTGCTGAACACTGAATGAAGACGTGCTATTATAGTACCTGAGCCAGGAGAGGAGCTGGCCTCCTTGCTCTCCTGATAAGTGCTGCGTGCGATCACTGCATCCATTTCCTGCTCGGAAATCTGATTTTCAGCAGAAAGCACAAATTAGATGGTTTTATTTATTTATTTCCCCCCAATAAAAGTAGCTAGGACCTGAGTCAGAGGCTGAGTGCAGATAAGGAGGGAAACCATAAAGCCCATGATTATGCCCACCCTCGGAAGCAATGACTCAGGGCATATAAGGACACCAGGTTAGCCAGTCGCTTCCGATGGTGTGTTTGGAACAAGGTCTTCGGCTGCTTCCCAGCGTCGTTAATGCTCAGGTGCCACAGTTACCAACCATGGGCCGAAACCTGCCTTTCTCTAGAACTTTCACTTCTAAATCTTTTTTCCTCTAGATTTTATTTAAACAATTGCCAACCTACCTAAAGCTTGTAAGAGTAGTGCAAAAAGAGGGTACTCTTCGTGGTTGTTGGTTTTAAACATTCTGCCACATTTACACTCATGCTCTTTTTTAAGACTGATTTGATATATATATATATATATATATATATATATATATAGTTTATTTATTTGACAGAGAGAGAAAGAGGGAGGGAGAGAGAAGGCACAGGAGGGGAGGGAAAGCAGAGGAAGAGGGAGGGATAATCTGAGCACAGAGCCTGATGCAGGGCTCGATCTCATGAATGCGGGACTATGACCTGAGCCAAAACCAGCAGTCGGAGGCTTAACCAATTGAGCCACCCAGGTGCCCCACTCATGCTCTTTCTTCACACACACACACACACACACACACACACGCACACTGCTTCACTTTTTACCAAACCATCTGGAAGTTAGCTGCAGACATCAGGAACCTTCACCCAGAAATATTTTAGCATGTGTCTCCTCAAAACAAGAACATTCTCTTCAATAACCCTGGCACTATTGCCATTCTAGGAAATGTAACACTGATACAAATGACCATCTAGTTTACATATCTTATTCCAATTTAGCCAAGTGTCCTAACACTATCCTTCAGAAATGTCTGTAGATGGAAGTAGTTCCTAAGAAGTTTGATGCCAGCTTGCAACGAGACAGGTTTTTCCTCCAGAATGCTTTCCAACACTCAGTTTTTCACCACCAGTGTGTTGCTGGGCAAAAGTGTCCCCTGAACTGAGCAGTGTACATCGTGATGTAACTGATTTGCATTCTGGTACAAGCTTGTTATCTCATGGATCTTAGTAGACCGTCACCAGCCAACACCCTTGCGTAGTAATGCTTCAGAGAAATTTCATTTTTGGCAATCTGGAATTCAATTCAGGGTCTGGTTGCCATGTCTTTTTAGACTCCTTTAAGCCAGAACATTGCTGAGCCTTTCTTTGTCACAATGCTGATATTTTGGAAGAAACTCAGGCCAATCAAACCCTTGGTTAGGATTTGTGTGATAGCGTCTTCATGCTGAGATTTAGATGATGCACTGTTTTTTTGGGCAGAAAAACTACAAAAACTGTTTCCTTCTCAGGCTTCAGGGAGGCATTTGGGGTCAATGACTCATGTTTCATGACTGGAGATAACTTTGACCACTCGGTTAGGATGGAGTTCACCAGATCTTTCCACTGGGTTTTTTTTTTTTTTTTTTTTGGTCATCAGTGAGTGATCTGCGAGGAAACAGCTTGCAACAACATCCATATCATGCTCCCAGTATGTTTTTACTCAATGGTTTTAACATTATTGATCATTTTTACTTGGATCAATTTTTACAATGAACTTTTCAAAATAGTCATTTTCTAACTTTTTTTCTTTCTATATTTACTGTTATCATGGTAGATTCATGGATTTTCTCCCCATCAATTGTTACCCATAATTGTCCTTATTCATAGAAAAGATTTTTAAAAAGCCTGAGGTATGCTGAATTATGAGATATTTTAAAAGGCCATTACCTAAATTGCATAGAATTTCTTTTTTTTTAAAGGTAAGAATACTGTAAATTTAGAGTGGTAATTTTGTGTGGTAAAATAATATTTAGCATAAATAACATTTGGATAAGCATAGCAATTTGTCTTAGTAAGTACATAAAGCTATGTAGGATTCAGCATTACATTTTAACCTAACAGATAAACCATAATCACATCATGTTTATGTAATACTTTCTGGTGGGCCTTACAGGAAATAATAATAACAAACACACATACATGCACACAGGGATATACACTTGAATACACACACACACACACATACACACTTCATAAAGCAAGAGCAATTTTGTATGAATGAGTCAGGAAAATATATCAGCTTAGACAGTGGTTGCTACTTTTTCTTGACATGAAACTTTCAATATTTGCAACTATTTTTCTGAGCGGGAAAAAAATGGTAGGGTTTGAAACAAGTGAAAGACTTCTTGGGTAATTCTATTCATGCTGAGAGCCCCAGTACCAGCTAAAAAAGGATCCCCCTGACCTTCTTTTGGCAAGTCCAAGTCTTAGCTTGTCTAGACCTGGAGGGTTTGAATATCCCAGTTGGGCAGCCACTGCTCCAGTCATTATGAGAAACAGAAGAAAAGCAAATCCTTGTGGTATTTCTATTGGAACAACATGAAAACTAAGGAAGCACATACATTCAGAACCAAAATGTACTATTGGCATGAAATGCCGGGGTGAGTGGAATAAAAATACATTAAACATAAAGTGGAATCTTGACCAAAAGGAAAATACAGGGTGGTGTTACAACTAAGAACACCACGTTTACCTACGAAGAAATGTGAGATCTAGTCAAACAAATACTGAAATCTGGTTTTGCGGGATGTATCTCTAGCACCGTCATGATGACCATTTTACTGTGGCTAGAGGCATGAATCAACCTGGATTCAGCAGGCTCGCAGACCACCAGTCCATCAGGATTATTATGTTTTGCACTGAAATGCCATTTTGATGTTTGATTATATTGGCAAATTAGGCAGATGCTTTTGGGCTGAGAAGAAGCAGACCTCCACACAAATCGTGACCTGTGCTACGCTGGAATGGATTCTGAAGTCAGACATGCCTTGAAGCCAGTGACTGCAAACCATGAGAACTTACAATTTTTTATGATGTTGCTGAGGGACGTGCTAGGTCAGCCCCAGCTTATTGGGCTGCTTTGGAAGGGGGAAGTGGGGGTAGGGGGTAAGGCCATGCAGGTGATGGAATCCAAGAGAGGACCTTGGAGAAAGGAGCCAAGACCACTCGAGCTGTGAGTATGAGGAGGAATGCTATTAAAAATGACCCAAAGAGAGCCATGGGGGCAGGTGGGAGACAAAGGAGAATAGGTTTTAAAGGAAAGTGTCAAAACTACAAAATAGAAAGGAGGAAAAATAGGAAGGGACAAGAGAAAAAATGCAAAAAGGTAGAAGGAGGACTTGATTTTATATTAATGATATTCAAGAAGATTTTCTTTAAGACATATATGAGAATGCATGTAGACGAGAGAAAACAATCTGGGAAACAAACAGTAGTGGAGTTGACTTTGAATCAGTCTAATGGTTGACCAAGCACTGTGGAAAACCAGTGCAATGGACCCCACTGAGACACGAAACATGATGCCATATAATTTACATATGAAGAAATTTCACACAGGGGAGGACCCGCCAGGTCTCTCTGCACAGACGTCTCACTCTCAGAATGGCACGTGAGTCCATCATATGGCCTGGGCCCATTTAGGACATAACAGTACAAATGATGCAGAGGAGGTGGTCATAGGACAGGCACAACAAGGGCTAATGTCCTTAAGGAGCATTTGAGTTGTTGGAAGAAAAGATTAAATTTCATAAAGATACACCTGATTGTAATACTAGAGACAAGCTAACTTAAAAAGACTTTTACATCAAGTATACTCGAAACAACAAAATAATAGTGCTCAAGGCCAGTAGAGTCCAATTTGCTAAAGGCCTCTGGTTAACCTTAAAAAATTCAAAGCAACTGCTTCAGTATAGAGAAGATACAATCAAATATCAGCAAAGTCCGAGGAAACAGGGGTTATGATGGTCTGCAAGTTCAACAATGTGATATCGATGCTGAAAAAAAATTAGTGGGCTCCTAAGCCTTAATTATAGAAGTATTCTGCTCAGGTCAAGGATGGCCTGGACAGACCATTTAGTCCAGTGCTCTCAGATTTTCTGGATACAGAAACCCAAAAAGGTTCAGTATCTCACCAGAGATCAAACAATCAGCTGGGACGTCCTAGGAACCCAGTACTCTTACCTTCTACCATATTTTATATTCACCAATAACAATGTCAAAATTTCCTCATAAAATTTCTACGAGTGTAAAGACGAAGAAGTCCAGATCCATGACTTGTTTCCCATGGGTATCGGTTACCCTAGTTGCCGTGTGACCACAAGCTGCTGATGACCACGCCCAGCTGGGTAAACTGTCTCACCAAAGAGCGTGCGTCATCATACGATCATCATAGGAGCACGGGTCTCACTGCTGCTGGACAAACAGCCACCCTCTCTGCCCCTACTCCGAACAGTATGAAATACTTCACCTTTGGGTTAGGGTGCCGGCCGATGACAAGGCGAACGGGTCCTGGGGGGCATTTGCTCAGGATGGTATGGACCTTGCTTAAAGCAGCGTGGCGGACGTTGACCGAGTTCACTTCCAGGATTTGATCACCACGGCTAGGGAAGGCAAATGACCAGCACTCTGTGGTAAGAGCTTTTTACAGGATCTTACAAGAGAGGTTTATCACATGAAATCTATTCTGAATACCTTAAGCAAGCAAATGACATCCTTTTGTCTTTTCATATGGGTAAAAAAGCAACACATTCATAAAGCATGTTGGATATTAAACTGGCAAAGGAGTCATGCATATCTGAGTTAAATAAATTGATAATGGGACAATAGCAAGGGTTTTCATTTCTTGAGCTCATGGTGTAGACTGGGTGCCCCTATGAACAATTTACATAGCACTACTTGGACTATGTATTATTATTCCTATTATTTAGATAAGGCCTGAGGCTCAGAGAGGTCACCCTGACGTCACACACTGTTGAAGTCGGGTCTGTCTACCTTTTCATCACAAGATAGCCTCTTGACCACCATCATTTTCTTTTTTCCTACCATCTTGAAATGATTATTGTAATATAATTCGAGGAGGAAATATCTCGAGCTCAAAGGTTACCCAAGAGTTTGTAAAAACGTTTTAAATTTGAAGAAATGAGAAATTGGGGACAAGATGCCCATTTTGACTTGAAATTATAGGCAGAGAACTCAGTATGAGAGAACAAAGACTCTTTATGTGGGGTTTGAAGAATGTTCATTTGGCAGGCTCCAGACATATGGAACCATTCAAGAAAGAAACATCATCTTGGGATGTCATTAAAGGATTTTTTTTCCTAGGGTTCTAAAAGTATATTTTCTTTAATGTACTTTGGATGATTTGCTAACTTTTTTTTTTTTTTTGTATGGAAATTCACTCTGATGATTAACTAAAAACATAATCTATTGACAGGGCCCCAGAATGGCAACCTCAAGGAATGTCATTTTGGACAATTCCTCAACTGCTCAAGGACTTGGAAGCTTACAGGGGAGAAAGGTGATACTGTTTGCACAGGGCGCTTTGTGCAATATGTGTACTTCTTGTGAAGTTTAGGTGGGCACAGACCCACTGCAATTACTGTAGGACAGAACACCTAGACATCTCTTGTACCAACAAACACCCAGGCTACCGATCAACTAGCCGAACTGAGAAATCAGACACGCAGTGATTTCAGACAATAAGCTTCTAGACAACATCACTCAAAAAGAAAGGAAACAACAGGAAAGCCTCAAGAGGTCATGTTCAATCACAAAGGCCTCCTGTTGAAGGAAGGGCAGGATTTCGGGACTCTTTGTATCTAGTGATCATGAACTGTTAGGAGCGGTTCCCCGCATCACATGTGAATTTTGCATAAGTGAATATAAACATGAAAGGAAATACTTAGATAATCATAGATATTTATACAGAGTTGTATTCTGTCAAGTTTCTGAAACTGAACTTCTGAGTTCCAACAGACCAAAACAGACAAGCCAAGATCTGGAGTTCTCTACGTCAACATTACTTTCATTTAGATTACCTTTTCATCTTTCAGGAAATGCTATTAATTGTAATCTTGGCTATGTTAGTGCCAATAATACAAAAGTCGAGGATCTCACACAAGGATGTTAAATAGGGCAGGGTACCTCACATGTACACTCATTCATTCATTCATTAACACTCGAGAAGCCCGTACGATCGGCTTCACAACGAACCTCAGGTTGCTCTCCATCTTTGCCACGGATCCGGGGGCCAGGCTGTGAATGTAGATCCCTGGAGGGCTGTTGTCCAGAGCCAGGCAGCAGGCACCGATGCCTAACCCAACCCTCGGCTCTGTGAGAGGCATCGGTCACAGAAAAGAAAAAAAAAAAGTATAAGTGATCTGAAGCTGCATTAATGTACATTCAGACCAATAACCATTTATTTGTGATCAGACTCAGAATGGAAATCCTGCTTTTCTTTGTCAACATCATCCTAGACTGTAAATGAAATGAGTCTGCATGCAGAACCGGGGGGCTAACTACGGGCCGTGTGAATCATTCTCTGCTTCGTCTTAGGAGCCTCCGCAAATCTGTTTTTGGGAACAGGGAGAGTCAAAGTAATACATATATTTTAAAAAGATTTTAAGTAATCTCTACACCCAACATGGGGCTGCAACTCACAATTCCGAGATCAAGAGCCGTGCGCGCCACCGACTGGGCCTGCCGGGGGGGCCCCCAGTATTTGTTATTCTGGATACACAGCTTTAGGTTTTCTTTCATTTGCCTTTTTTTTTTTTTTCCAGCAACTAATCTCCTAGCTATTTAACTGCCAACCATATTTCCATAGTAGGTGTAGAGAAAAAGAAAGTTGAAAAGCAGTAAGATTTGGTGAAGGCCCACAACTTTTAGTTGTTGTTACCTGTTTTCTTAACTATAATCTTTGGTTCTTTAAAAATTTTTTGAAGATTTTTTATTTAATTGAGAGAGAGAGAGAGAGAGAGAATGAGCACACGAGAAGGGGGAGGTGCATTGGGAGGAGAAGCAGCAGACTCCTGGCTGAGCAGGGCGCCCCATGCAGGGCTCGATCCCAGGACCCTGGGATCATAACCTGAGCCGAAGGCAGATGCTTAATCGACTTAGCCACCCAGGCGCCCCTGTTCTTTAAAATTTTATATTAGCCAGAGAATTAAACCAGTCTGTGATTTTTTTGTTCTTTTGTTTTTTGTTGTTTTTTTTTAACACAGGTTTCTGACACACAGTGATTCATCTGGGGAGAGCTTAAAAGACTTTGTGCTAGTGGTAACTTCTTTTCATTTTTTCAGTGAAAGGACTAAAACCTCTACTTTTGATCCCATTGTCCATTTAGAGAATACCATATGTTGTTGGCAGATTTTTCCAAAAGAACAACTTACAGAAAAAATAGAAAAAGTTAACCCAAGCACAGATTGCAAATTGTTACTCAAGAGAATACGATGAAAGTGGGGAAGAGCTGGTATCACCTTTGTTCAGTGTTACTTCCATGACGATCCTGTCCTTGGGCCCGGGGGCCTTCCGACCCAGGGACAAAGAGCTGCTTTCCTCGGGGCCTGCCGCTGAGCTGCCCGCACTGGCGTTGAAGCTAGGGGAGCTGGATCTGCTCACGTGTGTGGGTGTGGAGCAGGGCGTGAGGCTTGGGCTCAATAACTTTGTGCGTACTGTTAAGACAAACAATCCACTCCGGATTTGCTGGAAAGACAAGAAGAGAGGACGGCTAAAACAGTCAGACTGTTCCGAGATCAAAGGGTAGGGGAAAAAAAAATCTCAAACCCAAACCAGAAGGAAATAAAGGACAAAAAATAAAGAAGACAAAAGAGATGAGAATGTTGTTACCTTAAAGGTGTGAATGGCTTCTTGGAACGTCAAGCCCTTGATTGGTATTCCGTTTACATCGAGGATTTCATCCCCTGGTGACCAAACAGGATTATGTTAACATAGAGCTTCAGAAGAGGACAGCATATAGAACCTCATTTACAATTCTATAAGATGATTTTTATTGTTCCAGTGTGTTTCCATTAGCTTAGCTCCCGGGAACTTCACAAAATGGGACAACTAATAATGCATATCCTTTCTCAGTATTTCTGCATCTCCATCTTTAATGAAAACAACCAGGGGAAGTACCCAGACCTTATTGTTTTGTCATTGCCGAGTTTGATAATAAGTGTCCCAAGGTTAGAGATCAAAACGCAATAATAAGGCCCAAGTCTTTCCTCATAGTATCTGTTTAAAAACGTAAGCCAACAGGCAAGAAAGCATGAACACACACAACACGTGAGAAAGCCACTTCTGTATTTGCAGAAGACAAGATTTTTGAGCTTGGAGAACCATCCTGGGGTGTGGACAATGGTTTTAACAACAGAGACAAAAAACTTTTGAGATACTATTTAAGAATGGCAGCCCTGCCTCCAGAAATAGTCTGGATGCTGGGGGTTACTGAGGCTGTTCCCGGTTCCCAGTCATGGAGCTGCTCAATTACTCCACGCTTCTATCTAAGACATTATCGTGGGTTAATGCCAAACTGCTCTCTCATTCATTCTCTCTCTCTCTTTCTCCCAAACTATCCTGGATTCATCCTCATCTTCAAGCCCAGGAAGGTACAGTCAGGTCATTTTTCCAGCTGTTGATAGTGTCTGCTGAGAATAGAAAAGAACTTGGACATCCTGTTGACTTATCAGAGTTTGTTTTTGGTTTGTACTCTTGTAACATGGTCTGTGTTTTGGAATAACAGTTCATCAAAAACACTACGAAGGGGCCCCCAAGAGAAGAACAGATGAACTTTGTACAGCAGTTCAGGACAAAAGAGGGACTTCCCTTACCTATAACAAAGAAGTGTAAATCAGCGTCAGAACACATTTTTCACCTCTCATGGACTGTGGACTCCATTTAAGGAATCCTGTAGGTGAGTTTGAAAACGTGGCAGTAGCCCAGGCATTTGTGTGCCTTCTCTCTAATGCAATTACAGAGGTTGTAAAAGAAGTGAAATAATCTGTTTAAAATAATCACCTAACTAGGTGAGGTTCTGGTTTGCTTCCACATGGGAAAAGGATACGATCATTAAAATGATTGTTCATGCTCTTAAACATCTCTATACAAGATTTTTAAAAGATCATTCAACACATTGGAAATACATTCCAATGATTTACCTTTATGGTAAATGAACATGTATGAAAAAACAGTATTTAGGAGAATCAAGTGCTATTAACCTTTACTATTGATTTTTCCTCCATTTTTCTCCATTCTAACAGTTACTGTAGGATGAATTTCAACCAAATGAACACATGGCACATCCATTATAAAAATGCTCTGTTAGAATTTTACATTGTTCTGAAACTAGCTACAAATATCACCTGGGAGTTAATCCTTCCTCTAAGAGAGAGAAATAAATATTCTGTCCTCACAATAAGCCTGGTCACGTCTGAACATTAGCATACAGGCTCCTAGGGTAGCTCTGCCTAGAAAAAGGAGACTCCAGGGGATTCTTATCAATTTAAAAAAAAAAAAAAAAGCCGGCCGAATATAAGAGTACCCACAATTTGGGTCAGTTGAACTGAGCAGTTAGAGAATTTCTGAGGGTAACTACAAATAGTGTGATTTAGTCATTTCATGAAGGAAGTGTGTTAAAAAGGGAGGAAAAAAAAATCAGGACTCGTGAATAGGTTCTGGGGATCTAATGCCCAGCATGGTGACTATGGTTAGCAATACTGTGCTATCCAGTTGAAAATTTCTAAGAGACTAGACCTTACATGTTCTTACCCCGTCCCACCACACAGTCATTATATGATGTGATGAGGTGTTAGCTCGCTCAATGTGCTGCTCATTTTGCAATATATGTGCACATTAAATCATCATGCTGTATGCCTTAAACTTACACGATGTTATGGATCAATTACATCCCAATAAAGCTGGGAGGAAAAAATGCACTCATTTAGTATCTTTATGCAAAATGGCAAAATGGCAGGGAATATGGAGAATATAAAAGGTACACACACACACACACACACACACACACACACATATGCACTCTGGCCCTGAGGCAAAAATGGCCTGTAAGCTCTTAGGAATTTTCAAGGCAAGGAACATGATTAAGAACCAAGGGGACAAGACAGACATTTAAAGACCCAAATAAAAAATATCAAATCATTCCCCACATCATCTCCTTTAATCCCCACAATGACTCCTCGAGATAGGTACTAATAATCCAAAGTTTACAAACTAAGGAAAGTGAAGCTCAGGTTACATCAACTGTCCAAGGTCATGATGTACTAAGTATTAGATTCAGCTCAGGTCTACTTGACCCCCAAGCCCATGGCCTTAGCTGCTGTGCCACTGGCTTCACATCTTGCACGGGTGATGGAATCAGAGCCCACCACCACTGAGAACCACCGAGAGGCTTTCTCCTACCTTCTTTAAGTCTTCCATCCTCTGCAGCTGAGCCATTTGGGAAAATGGTCTTGACAAAAATCCCCATCTGTCCTCGAATGCAGTCTCGACCTCCAGCAATGCTAAAGCCAAGGCCCTACACCCCAAGCAGAAAGGTTGTCAATGCAGTATTTAACTGAGGGCATCTGCTCTTATTTCTATTTAACTGAGGCCTCCTTCCCAGGTAGGCTCAGGATTAAGCTAACTGGCTATAAATTTAAATTTGCATTCTCTTTTCCACTTCCTTCCTCAGGTCTATTTGCACTGTACTAGCTACACATTACATTAAAGGGAGACAGTTTTAGCTTGAAACAGGTGAACTTGCTAGTATTTGACAACCTATGATCTTCAAAAACAGCAATTTTGCATGGATCAATGAATAGCTCAAGAGAGTCATTTCGTACAATTTGGGTGCCATATTTATTTTATTCTTTGGTGTCAGTCTTCCCGTTTTGGGTAATATCAAAATGGATGGTTTGGTATTTGTATAATATCAACTTATTTGTATTATTCTCTGTGATAAAGGCAATGCTATGAAATTCATTCAGAAGGATAATCAGGGATATATCCCCAGCAGCTGCAGGAGTGGCTTTTCTTTCAATAGTCGTAAATGTTGGAGCATTCAGTCCACCCCACCCTGTCCCCTGACTCCCAGGACAAGGTGACTCCTTATGTCGTGAGGCCAAGAGGGCGTGTGTCACTCAGCAGCCCCTGGGAGAGGAGGCGAGGGAATCCCCTCTAATCTACACAAAGGCCACTCAATCTATTCCTCTTTGTATCTTTTAATTTTATTTCCATTAAAAAAAGTAATAAAGCTAGGGTGCCTGAGTGGCTCAGTAGGTTTAGTGTCTGCCTTCGGCTTGGGTCATGATCCCAGGGTTGTGGGATCGAGTCCTGTATCGGGCTCCCTGCTCCTTGGGGAGCCTTTCTCTCTTTCCCTCTTTCTCTCTCATGAATAAATAAAATAAAATACATTAAAAAAAAACAAAACAGGGGCGCCTGTGTGGCTCAGTGGGTTAAAGCCTCTGCCTTTGGCTCAGGTCATGATCTCAAGCCCCGGATTGGGGGGGGGGGTCTCTGCTCAGCAGGGAGTCTGCTTCCCCCCTCTCTGCCTGCCTCTCTGCCTACTTGTTATCTCTGTCAAATAAATAAATAAAAATTTTAAAGACAGTAATAAAGCTAACCATGTAAGAAGCAGATGCTAACATTCACCTGGGCCAAAAGAGTGAGCAGAAAGGAGCTCACCTTCCCCTTTTCTTTGTAAAGCCCGATGATGGAGATGACCGAAGGCCGGATGAGTCTCCACGGGGACTCCACCTGCGTGGTGCTTAGGGAGCGCGTGGACTTCTTTACAATGTGATATTCCTACAAGTCAGCATAAGGCAAGGTCAGGGATAGTCGTGTGTACCCTTCTGGGGCCTCTGGCATAGAAATATATTCAGATTTTGAAAATCTCAGTTGTCTTTTGGGTTAGACAACCATTTCTCCCTGCTCCATGTCTGACCGAGCAGCGTGAAGGAGCTGATGGACACCATTAGAGGACCAGCCCCTGCTGTCACACGCCACATGGTGCTGCCCTTGCCACAGAAAGAGCCGCCTGGAGGCTGCAAGCACCCAGTGGTGCCCTTCCTTTGATGCTACCTGGCACATCCTCCTACTTGCTTTCTGGAATGGAGTCAGGAACTGGAAGCCGAGAGACCTCAGAGACGTAGGAGGGCTATCCTGTGGTCAGGTTCTCCCTGGAAGCTGCTCCCTACCCCCACCCCGTTCACCATCATGGTTAAAAAGTATCTTGCCATTTTAAGCTGAATTCACTCAACCAAAAACGTAGCAAGCCCTTGTTTCTTATTAAAACCCAAACCGCAAGCCCCGACAACTGTTATTCCATATAAAACACCCCACTGACAAAGGGCAGCAGCTTCAGTTCTAACCCCTCACATGTGGAAAATAAAATACTTTTCCATCAGCTACCCTTTCCCCCCGTGCTGGCGCGCAGGAGCTCACATCTCAATCCCTTTGCTGTCCATCACCCACACGTACACGTGTGCAAGCAGGGTTCACCGTTTAGAACATAAACAAGACTTTAAGCAAATCTGTTGCTAAAGCACTTCTACAATCTATCTTCTTGCTATTCTTCTTAGAATAATAAATCTCTGAAACGAGACAGATAGTCCAGCATAAGCAAAAAAAAAGAAAAAAAAAAGAACGTTGTGCTTAATCTGAGAAAAGAGACATCAGAAAATAGTTTCTAGCCTTAATTAGTATATTCTACATCCAAAGGTAGAAATGAGTTGTCTGCTAATGATATTTTTGTATTCCTGGCAGCTTAGAACAATTCTATTTTGCAGTTTTACAAAATATCTGCTAGCTATGCTGGCCTCCCAGACTCTAATCTATTTAAAAAATGTTGGCTTGGCAGGGTTACTGCCCTTTTACTGAAACCATCATGGAGATGGCCAGACATAGCCTATGGGTTTCCAGCCCTCAAATATGGAGTTCATGTGTGGACTTGTAAGGGAACTCTCTCTCCAGCTGCACCTCCTGCCATCTCCCCTTCGGGAGCCCGTGGGAACCAGAGGCCGGCTCACTGTCTTATTCTCTTGATGAGCTTCAGGGGTCCCACTGCACTTCTTAGACCTCCGCTGTCCAAGATGGCAGCCACCAGTCACCTCTGGCTGTCTATATTTAAACAAAGATTAAAATTAAAAATACACTCCTCAGTCTCACTGCCCATGTCTCATGTGCTCAGTAGACACAAGTGGCTACCATACTGGACAGGACGGACATAAGATATCTCCATCCTGGTGGAAAGCTGTATTGGGTAGCTCTACCCTCCGCAATGCTTTGTAGGGGAGGGAGAGAGAACAAGGGAAAAGAAGGGTGAATCCTGGTAGAAAAAGAAAAGAGCAGAAAGGAAGAAAAGAAAAAGGACATTTTGACAAGGGGAAAAAAATCTTTCCTCTAAAATCTCACCAGCCTGTGCTTTCTAGGAGCTTTGTCAGAAATAGGTATTTCTGGGCTATAAGTATGGTCAGGTTTCTCAGCAGGTCACTTAAGAATATCACCTCAGAGCTAGGCCTCCTTGGTTGTGACGGCAGGAGACCCTCTCTTACTTTCTGCACTAACTAAAACAGCCTGACAAGTGGTTCTCCTATGACTTTCTGGTTTACCTCCTGACTGTTGGTCCAGCTGGATCATTCTGAGCAGGTCACAGGCTTGTCACCAGTCACGGGTCTAGAGGAGTTTTAACGAGTACCCACGCAGGTTTTCTGCTCTGCCTTTTCCCCATGTCCCAACTCAAGTTGTCTTTGGGTAGATTCCACACAAAATAACCTGATCAGCAGCTGCCTCTGGAACACGGGCGCTTGGTATTTGACTGGCTAGGTAAAATGTTCTTCCCAGGGATTCTGGCAAATCACTTTGAGTGAAATACTCACTCTCTTTGAGATTCACTGGCCTGTCTGTAAAATGGTGATAACACACCCAAAGGAATGACTTGACCCAGATGACCTGCCCCAGGACCTTTTCATCTCTATGATTCATGAGTCTACATGCACTTAAGGATGTCACTGCTCCACCCTCCATTTCCATTGCTGCTTCACTGTAGGCAAGATGCCAATGGTTTCTCTTCAGCCCTCTGGCTGACGGTGCCAGGACTGCAAGAACACTCCATGAGTTCCCCAGAGATTGAGCCTGCCTTCAACTAGGTTGGGAGCTCTCTACACACTTGTAACTGGACTGAGGATAATGTAATTGCGGAAGAGCCCTGTGAAGAATTAGGGATCCCTGAGCTCTTCTGGGGCGGGTCCTGGAATATTAACATCATTGCCTCCTTTACCCCCAACTGCAGTCCTCTGACCTTGTCTATTTGAACCACTACTAAGTAACAGATAAAATACTAGACATAGTATAGGCACATACATGCACTCCCCCCACTTCACACGACCCAACACTCACCCACCCACCCAGTGGTTACGCTGACACCTGACGCGCCCATTGAATAAGCAATGGTGGTTGACCACAGACCGTGAGGCGCCATTGTCTCCTGGCAGTTGAAAGCAGCTCTCAGGTCCAAAACACACAGTAGGAAGGGGATCAAGATGTCGAGATCCAACAAAGGATTATTTTTCTCTACTGCTTTCAAATCCTGGGCTGACTTCTTCCTAGCCTCCACAGATAGACCTCGTTCTCTGTGCTACATCTCTAGTCCCAAATACCCCTGCCCACACAGGTAGGCAGCTCTTCCCCAGAAGGATGCTCTTGTTGGTCTCTGAAAGAGTGAAAGAAAGCCTCAAGACCCAGGGGTAGAAACATGCTCTTACATCCCTGACCAGGCAACTCTGACAGTCTGAGAAAATGAAAGGCTCCATGGTACTGTCCTACCTGTGATGTCCCAGTAGAGTCCAGCAGCTGGGGAAGAGAGTGCTTTCGGCCATCTCGGGAGACTTCCAACATCCTGATCCTGGGGTCCCCATTTCGCACCATCAGCTCATTATATTCTTCAACAGACTCCAGACGGTGTACACCCCCTTGTGAAAACATGGAGAAAAACATGGCGTGATATGGGATGGAAAGAATGTTATGAGTATCACAGGCATAAAGTTGTTGGATTTACCTCTACACTACATGGTCTTCAGAAAGCCTGGTGTACTTTCAAAGTATTAGATGAGCTCAGTAGCTCATTGCTTTCTACCAATAAGCTCTGCCTAAGCTGGGGGTCTGTTGGGGCCATTAATGTCAGATAATGAAGCAAGTGCCAGTCTTTGAAGGAACCAGACCGGATATGGGAAAATGTACACATTTCATCTAAGTAAGATGTAGCCAGCATTGACAAGGCAGTAAACAACAGTGAGAAAGCTACCAGTAGATGGTTTTCTAGTGACGGAGGAACATTACTCTGTTTGGTACACTTCCATTGTTGGGGCAGGTGCTTTTTTCCCCCCATGTAATGACTTGTTAAATAAACTTCTTTATTAAAGAATAAAATCTCACAGAAATTTGCACAAGTTGTAAGTGTACAGTTCCATGAAATTTCACAAAGTGAATGTTCCAGAAACCAACAGTCAGACCAAGAAACAGATATTTCTGGTACTCAAAAGCTGCTTTGGCACCACTAACCAGCCTTCATCCATGGTAACCATTATCCCGACGTCCAACATCAGAGATGACTTTTGCCTATTTTTGAACTTTATATAAATGAATACATAAGATATGTACTTTTTGCATCTGGTTCTTCACTCTTAGCATCTATTTGTGAAAGCCCCCATGTTGGTGCTAATAGTCTGTTCATCCCATTTCTGTATACTACTCCATTGTATAAACATACCACAGTTATCACAGTTTGGCTATCCATTCTGTTGCTGATGAACACTTGCTTTGTTTCCAGTTTCAGTTCTAGAACAAGGGTCAAGGGTCAACTTTTTTTTTTTTTTTTTTTTTTTTTTGGTAAAGGCCAGATAGTAAATGTTTTAGGCTCTATGGGCCACAGATGGTCTCTGCTACATATTCTCTCTCTCTCCACCCCACCCTTTTTTTTTTTAATCCACTGAAGATACAGAAAGTACTTCTAGCTTGTGGTCCATACAAATACAGCTATGGGTGGTAGTTTGCCGACGCCTGATCTAGAACAGACTGTTATGGAACATTCTCATAGGAATCCCATGTGTGGGGTGCAGACCTAGGCAGAGCTGCTGAGCCTTGAGTACACAGCCACCTTTCCCAATGCTGGAACACCACCGTATGGGAGTCCTAGTTCCCCCACATCATCGTCATACTTGGTGGTGCCAGTTTTTTAAATTTCAGCCAATCTCATAGGTACATAATGACATTTCACTTCTTCTTCTTTTTTTTTTTTAGATTTTATTTTCAAGTAATCTCTACACCCAATGTGGGGCTTAAACTCATAAGCCCAAGATCAAGAGTCCCACACACCACCAGCCAAGCCAGCCAGGGGCCCTCTTGTGGTTTTTAATTTACATTCCACTGATGACCCATGTGACTGAGCTTCTTTCAAATATTCGTTGGCTATTTTAACTTTTGTAAATTTGTACAATGGCTTTTTTTTTTTTTCCTGATAAAGTTGTAAAGTGCCTGTTTTGCTTATTCTTTTAATGGGTTTCTGTCTTTTTGTTGTTGACTTATAGGAGTTTTTATTTTTCTATTGTTAATGTTTTAGATTTGAGTCCTTTATGGGATCTATGTATTGAAGATATCTTCTCCATGTCTGTGACTTGCCTTTTTCACTCTTAATGGTATTTTTACATGAACAAAAATTCATAATTTACGTATAACGTATCGATTTTTCCCTTTATGCTTAGAAGTTTGTGTCTTAAGAAATTTTTGTAGTAATTTTTAAAGACACCTTTATCAATACTTAGTTTATATTATATGCTATTTTAAAATAAGATAAGGGAATTAATTTTAAATGATGGCTCAATTACACTGAATATAGCTATAATCACATCACAATGTTTACATGATACATTATGAATGTATCACACGTGTGTGTGTATAGCTATATACATATACAGATTTTTTGTAATATCAAATTCTCTAGATGATGTTTTATTTGATGAACTAAAATTCAATTTACTTAAACAATTTTCAGAAAGTTTTTCATGAAGTAAAACAGGATGATTCTGTACTCTTTTAAAAACAATATATTGAGTCTTTAATGGTGAGGAAAAGTTGGAAGAGTGCGGATACAGTTCTATTAACATGAACATCACTAAAAGCCTGGTGTTTCAAAAGCTACATATTAACTGTGATACAGGTTTTCAAACACCTGAGACTCCTTTGCAATCAAAGAGAAATTTCCATTTAAAAAGATCACAAACGTAGGGTATTAACACAGATAAATCAAAAATACCAAAATTAAAAGGGAACCCTGCTGGCAAAAAAGGCAGTATGAAGTAAGGAAAATTCAGGTTAGGATATCAGGAAAAATGTTCTATAAAATCACTTTAGTCATTCTGGAGCCAGACTAGGCAAAAATCTTAGTGGAGATGACTGGAACTTTTTTATAGAACCTCCTTAATAATTCAGGATTTACTAATTCATGGCCAGATTACTCCATCTTGGCATGCTTACTCATCTGAAAAAGATTTATTAGAAGAAAGTGCCTTTTGAGCTGACAGGGGGGCACTTGCCTCAGCAGAAGAGAAACCACATACGGTAGTGTCTGTAGATAAGATACAACACACGAATACCAGAGTGACTCGCTTTTAGAAACTAGGAAATAAAAATCCAAGTTTACAGGACAAATTAGCAGGTGATCACATTAAAATCTGTATTCAAATGTCTCCAGGCTGAACATATTTCACGGCACTGAATGAAGACCCAGCTCCGTAAGCCGCCTTTCTAGGTCTCAAATTACTTTTCCAGCCCTATCTCCCACGGCCCTGCCCCATGAATTCGTGGCTCTGGCCTGCTGATTCTCAAAGGAGAGGATCTGTCCTCCTCCCACATCCTTTCCAAAACCGGGGAGCCTATAAATATCGCCTGACATTTTACCTCACTTTGCCGGCACCATCAGCCCCCTCCTGGAGGGGCTCCTTACCCCTAATCTCCCTGACAAGCTCTGCTGGATTCAATCGTGGTTCCTGTTGGATTACTGGATCTTTCGGAAAGCTGAGGAGGAAAAACAGTTGCTAAAAACTTCTCTAACCAATTTTCCCTCATTGTCCATAAACATTTCTGGTGCATTTTCTCCCTTGTCCAGACCACCGTTGGCTTCCTCTTGGGTTCTGTCAAATCTTGCCAAGGCCCAGGCCCTCCTTCATCCTGTGTCCTCTGGATGCCTCCCCTGAGCACCACGACCCAGACAGACTTCCATCTTCGTACCTCCTGTCGCATGCCTTATCACCACCTAAAGTTCTCAAGAATACTCCTGTCTGAAACTATTCAAGCATCTTCCCCTCTTGACAGGGAAAGAGGAGACAACGATGATAATAAAGTTGGAAACGACAGTGACAAATGTGATGTTAACGTCGGCAGGGGTGGGGTGGGCCATCGCTGCCATACCTGCAGGGGCAGCGCCACATTCCCTCTCTCAACTCCATCTTTCAACCGAGATGGGGCACTGATTTAGAGAATAAATGTACAGTATAATCCTCACTCTACACCCAAAGAAACAGAGAACCCAGAGAAGTCAAGTCACTGGTCTCAGGTCAAGTCACAGCAGGGCTGAGAGGTGAACACAGTTCTCCCCGGCTTCATGCCTGTTATACAAATTTGCTTATTATGGCCCCAGGTGTCTGGGAAGGACAGGAAAAGAGGGTGACCTCCATTTGTGGCAAACAACAACCAGCTGTGGATTTTACTCAGCTGAATGTGCGGCTTGTTCTAAATTAATAGCATAAACAGCATTAGAGAATTATGATTTGAAAGGTCCCCAGCTATCTCCCCATCCCCATGTCTGTATCCATATAGCCCCAGCCTGGGGGCTAGGATTCCCATCAAGATTCTCAGGAAGCCAGGGTGGCTAAGAAGAACTATCTGGGAGGCAGATCTTTTTGCTGGCACTGAGTGAGTGACCTTTGGGATTCCCTTAACTCCTCTGGTCTCATCCATAAAATGAGGAATGTGACCGTATGGGTTTCAAAGGTCCCCAATACTTCCCCAGAGCTCTGTGGCCCTCCTGGGGACTGTTGATAAGGTGTTGATTAACTGTGCCAAGACAGCTGGCCTAAAGCTCTTCATCTGCTACGCCCCTGTGATGTCCAGGCCCCAAACACACACAGGAATGAAATGCATTTCTCTCTGCTGTTCTCAGGGCTTCGGGGGAGCTGGGCGGTCTCTCTGCGTGAGGACCTCACGATGTCTCCCCTCCAACTTAGCCTCTGGCCATTTCACTGGTCACCACCCTGTGTTCTGATAGACACTGCCTAACTATTTTGAGTTATGATCAGACTAATTCACTTTGTTACACTGGTTTGTTAAAAGAACAGATCTGTTTGAGGGTCCTATACCAGTCGCTTTACCTGAGAACAGCTCAGCAGAGGGCCAGGCAGTGGTGACAGGGGCGGGGGTGGCAGGGGTCCTGGGTGGCAGGGGTCCTGGGTGGCAGCACAGACAGCACCCCTCCACACGGGTTTGTGTCCAAGAGGAGACTGGCATGTTTTGGATGTTGACACACCTTGTGCTTCGGCTGGCCACTCCTGTATGTGTTTTGTTTTTTAATCTGCTCACCCTTTCAAAGTCAGGATTATTATCTCCTTTTCTCAAGTGAGGAAGAGGAAGTTAGGGACTTGAACGCAGCGGCCCAAGGTCTCATGAGACGCCTTTCATGGGTAGGCAGCCAGGGCGGGCCTCTCCGTCAGGCCAGCAGACACAGTGCAGAGGGCCCATAAGAAAGTTTTAAGTGTAAACGTCATGGTAATGAAGAGATAATAAAGAATCCAGCTTGTACCTTTATACCAATGCAGACACAAAATGTAACTTTCAGGGTTTTTTGGTTTGTTGTTTAATAGGGGAAAGAGCCCATCAGGGAGCGGGTGCCTAGGACCCTCGGATCATAATAGGTTCTTGTATGTGGCCTCTGCTTGCTTGCTTTCTCTTTTTTTTTTTTTTTTTTTTTTAAGATTTTATTTATTTATTTGAGAGGGAAAGAGTGAGAGAGAGAGAGAGAGCGCACGAGAGGGGGAAGGTCAGAGGGAGAAGCAGACTCCCCACCGAGCAGGGAGCCCAAATGCAGGACTCCATCCTAGAACTCCAGGATCATGACCTGAGCCGAAGGCAATCGTTTAACCAACTGAGCCACCCAGGCACCCCATGGGGTCTCTGCTTTCAACAAGAACTTTCTGTCTCAGAGCACCGGCCAGCTGCTGAGGCTATACCCAGGAAATGTGAAATCTCTGTTTCCAGAGCTGTAGCTCCCATCCTATTTTTCAGCCTGCTTCGTTGAGATGCAGATTTCGTATTAAGTCAATAACTCTTTGCCCCTGGTTCTGGTCAACCAAGGGCTGGGGGGAGAGGGCCATCTGCCGGGAAGACAGGCCACTAGGAATGTTCCACAGGGCACGGGTCACCTGGAGTTCTGTGCAAGTCAGTGAACCACACACACAGGAAATTTAGGTTTGAGCAGAGACAAACGGAGATGCTGACATTCACTTCATTATGACTCAAATAAAAATATTCACTTAGGCAGCCCGGCTGAGGGCAGTTTTAGGCTTGGGGCATGCACTTCCTAAAGGGAAAATAATTTTGAGGCTGTAAGGGGAGGGGGAGGCGCTCATTCTGTTAATGACTCTCCTCTTCGCACTCCTGAGGCTAGAAGCTCACTTTCGGGCAGGCCGCATCAGACACGGGGCTCCACTCACCTGAAAGTCGACTTTTGAGTTTCATTTTACTGCTGCCCTGCTTGGGACTTTCCAGGTTTCCCTTGGATTCCTCGGGGCCGCCCGAATCTTGGGACTCATCTGTCCCGGGCATCTGAAATGCAGAGAACACGGAGCTGACGGGGGAGGCGGAGCAGCGATCACTGATGAGATCCCCTCCCAGCAGTTATCTCCAGGCTAGAGGCCTCCAGGCTAGAGGAGCAGAGCTGCAACACAGGTATCACGTGAGGAAAAAAGCTTCCTGGGATCAAAGCACAGCCCCTCAGATAACCTGGAACCACACAGCTTTATGCCGGCAAGTTCCTCCTCAGCGAGCAGCCCTGCACAGCATAGAAATAGCAGGTTTCAAAGTGGAAATGGCCCCAGAGGCCGCTTCATTTCTGGAGGAAACTTGTTGGTCAAGATCACCCAGGGGGTCACAAAGCCACAAAGACAGCCCAGGTCTCTTGGCTTGTGGCTAGTGCTTTTTCCCAGAGTGTGAGCTGCAAGAACTATGAAACCAGAAATTAATTAATTAATTAATTTATAAAAAACAATTATTATTATATTTTAAGATTTTATTTATTTATTTGACAGACAGAGATCACAAGTGGGCAGAGAGGCAGGCAGAGAGAGAGAGGAGGAAGCAGGCTCCCCTGCTGAGCAGAGAGCCCGATGCCTGCCGGGCTCGATCCCAGGACCCTGTGATCATGACCTGAGCCGAAGGCAGAGGCTTTAACCCACTGAGCCACCCAGGTGCCCTGAAACAAGAAATTTAAACTCAATTCTGAAATACAGTAAAACATTAATTTGGGGGCAGCCAAATAACTACACCCCTTGGGTCAGCCACACTGTGTGCCACATTCCTGAGTACTAATTAGCACTGCTTGGGCCACGTGCAGGGAGCCCCAGAAAGTCAGCCCGCACGTCTGTGCGTTGTACGCCTATGCTCTCAGACCCTGAGGCGTGGGGCAGAAAAAGTCCCAAGGTCTGTAGAAAAGCCAAAAATGCTAAAACAACAACAACAACAAACGACATTTATTAGAAAAGAAAAGGTGACGTACATGCTTAAGAGTTCATTTAAAAAATTTGGGAAGTAAATTTATATGTATAAAACTTATGAAATCAAACAAAGAGTTTTCCAATTTGAAATTTCCTTTTCCTTGGCGGTTCTGGAGGGAAAAAAGTCATTAATTACAGCAGGTAGGATTCATGTGAACAAACATACATGAATTTAAAAAGACAGAAGATATCCTTTAACACTTCACAGTCATTGAAAAGTCACATAATTATAATGTAAAAAAACCCCCAAATCCTGAATGTTAACTGATAATAAAAATTAGACACTATTTCAAATTCAGTATATGAAAATGCATAAAGTAGTCTCCCAGGTAAACTCCACCTCCTTCTAAGAGGTTAAGTTCATATGGAAATCTTTTTCTTAAATATATAGATATATTTGTATTTTAAGTAGGCTCCACACCCAACGTGGGGCTTAAACTCATGACTCTGAGATCAAGAGCGCCATGCTCCACAGTCTGAGCTAGCCAGGCACTCCATATGTAAATCTTACATGTAATATAGGAGGTTTGCAAAATTCCCTCTTCCCCTTCAAGTTCAAATATCTCTCCAGATGAGAAAGAGGGGAAAAGAAGGTCTGAGAAATGAGGAGATGCAGGCGAGTTGAGGAAGGGGCCGTGGGAAAGCAAATGAATCCCGATACATAAAACAAAGATAAATTTGGTGAATCCCTATTACAATGTTGGGGATTGGCAGGTCTCCAGGTTTAAATTATGAAGTAAAGACAAGAATAGAATCCTGAGGATGATTTTAGAGATTCTCAAGAGGGAGGTCTTTCCCAACCCCAAACTGTAACATTTAATTCATACCCAGTGCAGAAGAACCCTCTTGGAGACTGGCCAGAGAGCTGAGGCACAGGAGGAGACATGCAAATGAGAATAATCCAGAGAGAAGCCTCGGGGCCTCCCCCTTTGCTTAATTTAAAAGCTTTATGGAAAAAACCTGTCTCCGGAACATAAACAGCAATTACTGGAGACTGAGTTAAGTTCCTGGTTCTTTCTCTCGGACCACCTGACCCAGGCTCAGCTTGTAGGTCATTACCTCCTCGGTGCCCAGTCAGGGCGTGGGTTACTCCACAGCTGCCAAGGCCCAGACCATCAGAAAGCACGTCAGAGGAGCTCCTGTCAAGGGAAGAAAACGATCCCGACCCACTGTTTCCAGACTTCGGAAGTTTCCTTCTTCCATTTTTCCTCTGTTTTCCCAGCATGGCTCCAGTTCTCGCAATCGGAGGAATTTTGGAGATGACATAAGCCCTCATATGAGTAACCGAAAGGAAAGTGACCTGCCCAAGGCTTTTCAACTCATTACAGGCAAGGCTGAGACTCCTCTGTCTCCTGATTTCCAGCTTTATGCGTCACGAGGATTTTCCCTTCCTCCATCCTTAGATGCATTTTAATTGAGTTAACATGTTGGGCGATCAATACCGCACCATACTGTGTAGTTGGTATTCCTGACATTTTTCCCATTTAATGTTGGCAGCAAACATGTGTCCCAAGGTAAAAAAAATGTTTTCTCCATCGACAGATGAGGAAATAAATAGAGACCCTGAAGTAATTAATACCTTTTTGTGTCTAACATATATCCGAGACCTGGGCTGGATCACGTGCGCAGGGATGGAGCGTGGAGTTTTACAAGAGCGAACATGCGCTGTGTCAAAATCTGTGTTCTTGTGATGCGAGCCCAGCCGCAGCCAAATCTTCTTTATTTTCAGAATCTGAGAGAGGCAGTTTAGAAGAGAATCACAGCCTTGAGGAATAACCTTCTTCTTCTTCTTTTTTTTTTAAATCTCAAATGTGCCAAAGAATGAGACGACATTTGGTTTCTGTGATCTATAAAATACTGATACCATTCCTTGTACCAAGGAAATCTTACGCAAAAGATGGTGTGTGTTACATGACCACCAAAAGCCCAAGATTAAACCGGTCAGAATGGACCTAAAGGCACTGCAAAGAGGCACAAATGTACACTGTTGAGCTCAAGGCAGAAGCACAATCTGATTTCAGAACCCCTGGAAGGTGTCTGCACAGGGTTCTGAATTTAAACAGATCCTTTTCCTCTTGCAACAGAAAATAGTCTGTCATGATTTGAGGTGGCGTGGAACTCAAGGAACAGAAAGTAACAACATACAAATTGCAATTAAGATTACAATGTGCCTCTCTTCAGTCTTCAGAATATTGTCTGAAAATGTCCACACTCTAAAGAGTCCCTTTGCTGTATTTTTATTTTTTCAGATGCACAGAACAAATCAAACTGTTCTGGAAATGATGTCATTTTAGTTGTTCTAAAATGAAATGTGCAAAAAGTTCTCCTGGAAAGCCTTTGGTTCAGCTGGTATAATCTATTATTCATGATCAATTTCTAATGCATGTGTTATACAACAATGCCATTAAATTAATGGAATCTAATATAATTTGCCAATTTCCAAGTTAGAGCCCTTCTGTTTGAGCAGTTTTCGACACTTGTAGCCTATGAGATTCTCTCTCACTGAAGAAGAATCTTTAGCTTCTGGTTTTGCAGTGAGGTGGTAGAGCAGAATGCTTAAGAATCCAGCTGCCTGGACACAAATTCTGGTTTTTAGCAATTTAGGCCCATTAGTCATCCTCCTTGAGCTTCGGTGTTCTCATATGAAAGATGGGGTTTGATTTCAGAATTAAGTGACAGGGGCACCTGGGTGGCTCAGTGGGTTAAAGCCTCTGCCTTCGGCAGAGGTCATGATCCCAGGGTCCTGGGATTGAGCCCCGCATTGGGCTCTCTGCTCAGCAGGGAGCCTGCTTCCTCCTCTCTCTCTGCCTACTTGTGATCTCTGTCTGTCAAATAAATAAATAAATAAAATCTTAAAAAAAAAAGAATTAAGTGATAGTTGGTTTTTTATTTTTTTAAGTTTATTTACTTATTTTTCAGAGAGAGTATACAAGCAGGGGGAGCAGTGGGCAGAGGGAGAGGGAGAAGCAGGCTCCCCTCTGAGCAAGGAGCCTGATGCAGGAATCGATCCCAGGACCCTGGGATCATGACCTGAGCTGAAGGCAGATGCTTAACCAACTGAGCTACCCAGGTGTCCCTACGTGATAGTTTTCTGATTAAAGATGACAGATTTCCTTCCTTTGTCCCCCTTCATTTGAAACCACACTCAAATGAAAGAGAAGAGATTTTAAAATGAAAGACAATCCCACAGGCAAAGAGAATAGCAACAAAATGTTGAAGACAACAGCAACAAAATTCTGGAAACCAGTAAGCAGATGAATATGTGGTAATGGATCCAACTTGAGAAAACGGAATTCTAAGCTGGGGTCAGAGAAAGCTGAAATGCAACCCAGTTTGAACAGAAAATCTCCCCCCAACCCCCACACCCCAAAGCTCAGGAGTTGCCCATAAAGGGTCTCTGGTAGTAGGGATGTAGCAAGGCTAAGCAATGGTGAGAGTGGAAAGTGGCTGGCACAGGTATTTAGAAAGGATCTGATTTTGTCCAGGCATTGGGAATGACCTGGACAAACTCTGGTGTGCAACAGAATCACCCAGAAAGTTAATAACGAACGTGGACGCCCAGGCTGATGGAAGTGGGGCAGGGCCTGGGGCTCGGTGGTTCACTATTGCCCTGGTCCAAACAGAGCTGGGTTGAAAGGGTTTAGGTGTTAAAATTATCTGGTAATGATCTAACAGGTTTATGATGAGGATTTAGTAACAATGCACTTGAAAGTACTAGCAGAGAACCTAACTGTACCCCAGAAGTACCGTGAAGATTCAGCCAAACAAAACCCCTCCAGCTTTCTCCCCACCAAGGCTCAGGGTGCCTCTAGATTTGATGATTACACGGGATTATAGCTCTAGACTGCAGATATAAACATTTCCATTTCCTACCTATAAATGGCAATACATTTAATGAATGAACAAAGCAAGACAAACAGTGACCCAGCATGGATATGCCATCTTGCTGGATTCACGATGAGAAAAAAACTCCATAAAATTACTGCAAACCTAACAGCTTAGAACTGTTTCAAATGCATGTTCTTGGAAATGTATGCTCCTGGAAGCCGGGTC